TGCAAGTGGAGGTAATATAAATGATTAACAAACAATACACTAGTCTTGTTTTTTTATGATTTTAAATATTCAGTGAGTCATGGAATTATAACTACAGCGAGAATAGTTATTTTTATTACCCAACAAATTTCTTAACACATTTTTTAAGATATTTTACACTCGCACGATGTATGTAAATTTTATAGCCACGACTTCATTTACAAAAATCAATCCCCAACACGAATACAGATACGAAACTACAAATTATACGTGTAATTATTTAGCTTTAGGGCTATTACTGATTTCTTGTTTATTGTTACAAAATCTTAAAAATGTATTGGCCATAATATATTATGATTTTACGACTTTCAATCTTAAACGGTCGTGGAACGACTGAATCTGTTTAAGCGTTTTTTAGTTACTTACAATTAGTGAAATTGCTTTTAAGATTTTTCTCTCAACAGTTAGTTTATATTTCTACTGTAAATTATTATTATAACTGGTATAAAAAATAGTTGATAAAATAAAATAAGTGAGTGTTTACACTAAATTATCTCAATATCTCAGCACTAATAAAATAACTGCAAACTTTTGTTTATAGAAATGATAGAGGTTATAGAAAATTTCAGTTCACTATAGTTAGTTAGTGGCATATATTAATTTTAAAGGAGGTTCGACTAGGTCAGATTATACAAGATTGGGTTGGGTTTACCTATTTAGTATTATCCTTAGGTACTATAATTTATAAAATTCAATTTTTAACATTTACAAATTTGGTAAAAATGAAATACCGTTTGATACTTTAAAATTGATACTAACTGCTAAAAAAATAATTAGATTAAGATATAAATCACATAGCAACTAAGAGATAATAGAAGGTGATTTTTTTTAAAGTATTCTACTCAATGTTTCATTGGGTTTAATCAGTTATTGTAAGTAAAGTTTAAAAGTTAGGACGGGTGGGGAAGTGCGGTTAAGTAATGCGGGTAGATAAAAATATTACTACTCACTACCCTTCCTCCTATCCTAAAATTTTTAATTAACCAAAACTGGTTATCGACCAGTTAAAATTTTCAGTAAATTATTCTTAATTTAAAAAGTTAGATATAGAAGTATAGTTAGTATAGAGTATAAAGGATACTATAATCTAATTGTAATGCATGCAATACGTTCAGCGCTAAATTAAATCACTCTTCTTTACTATATCCCAGTTAAGAGCAGTATTGTACAAAAACCAAAGCGTATCCACTCCTAGCTGCATATGAGATTAATGTGTTTCTGCGCACTACCGCTCTTATACGGTATAGGGTATACTACTTATAATTATTTAAAAGCTTATACTTTTGGCTTATGTAACTGTTGTGCAGATTTTTAACGGATGTGTAATGAAAATCAATCGATCAGTCATCAATGATATATCAATAAAAACATTTATAAATAACATACAATGTAAAAACATATATTGACTATTACAGCGTAGAAAGTCGTAACTCGATTTGAGTTAATAACAAAAACGAACAATCCTTTTTTTCTCTATTTCCGACGAAATAATATTTTAAATTTCTGTCTACGAGTAAAAGAAACTTGTATAAGAAAACATAAAAAATAAAATATGAACTCAAAATCGAAATTTTGTTTTTTTTCTCTTTTTTAAAGTTACAAAAATAAAGTAGCGATTTTTTTGCTGAGACAGTCGATGTTTTAGACGAGGCATCCAGTAAATGATAAAGTAGCAAATTCGTTTGATAATTTGGATATTAGGGCAGTTAATTATAATTAGAAAAGATTTCGTTATTATGACGTGATTATTATAATATAAATAATTGCGTTCTATTATAGTTCAATGATAAATAACCTTACGATAACCACCGAGCCAAATATAAAAGAAATATCGCTGAAGGTTGGTATTGTTGTTTGCTAAATGATTGTGTCAATTATATATATATAATTAGGATATTTCATTAGCATGTTATTCTTTGTGTGGCAACACTTCTTTTTTCTTTAAATTATCTCGAAGGATAATTATGTCTCAAACTATCTTGTGATGGTTTGAGTAAGTTAAATGAGTTGATCGACAGGTACTAAACTGAGGAATGAAAACAGTTATGCGTTTATAGATACATTATTCTTCAAATGTGGATATTAATAAAAATGTAGGCTCCTTTGTTTTTACAACGGCCGATTTATCGTTTTAATATTAACAATGTTGACTATTACTAGTCGTACTAGTCACATGCTAGCAAGTCTATAGGTCGAAAGTCTGTTAATTGAGTAGGAACATTGTGCCATAGTTAAGCAACAAATAAAGATTAAAATGCGATAGTCACATTCTGAAGTGTCTACCGAACCGATTTAAAATGTTTATTTTGTTATAAAGTTGTTAAGATGTATTTTTCCTTTTTTATAGTTTCGTCTTATAAAGCTAACTAATTTTCTAGTAGCTAAATCAAAAATGGGCTTTTTAGCTAGCCCCCTTAGAGAACTTCATAAGTGTAATTTTTTTTTATCAAACGTTCGCCATAACTCGGAGAAAATTAACTTAAGAGGTTTTATTCGTTTGTTAAAAAAACTAAATACTTTGTCACCTTAAAATTAGACAGCATATTTAAAATGGCTACTAGATTAATTTTTGTCAAATAATGCCTATCCTTTGCCCATTATTAAATAGTACTTTCTGTTCCCCTTAAATAAACTATTATTGCGACACTGAACATAATTTTGTACTAGTGGCAGTACAATTGTTTTTAATCATTATCATAATTCATAAGTAACTGAAGTACAAGATCATTTGTTATTTACCATATTAATTGTGTTTATTTTTTATTTCTCAGAAATATGTCACTCATAACATCTTTAGTGTTATGTAGTTATATAGTTGTATAATGTTATACTAGGGCATTCTGAGTCTTACTCGGTCATCGGACCGATCTCAAAATTTTCGAATTTTATTTTAAACTTCTTTTGATCTAAAAGACATTTATTTCTTTGAAATTTTATCACTTTTCTATAATATACTACCCCTAAAATAGAGATTTTTTGTTATTTTTCAAGAAAAATCGATTTCGACCAGTTTTAAATTTTTAAAATGTCTATAATAAAATCAGTTACACACATCAGTTGTTTTTATCTAATTATGGGAATGGGCCAAGATTGATTTCTATTTTTTTTTGTAACTATCATTTTTGAATTTCAAAATCTGAAAAAATATATAATTTATTTATTAATAAAAAAAAATATACATATATATGTCTTGGTAAAATTTGATGTTATGCATATTTTGTGAGTAAAAAATGAAAAATGCACCTTACGAAAAGAAATCAAAATAATACTATTTAGTTGTGTATAGATGTAATTTATTAAGAATTCTGTGGTTCAGTTTCATACCTACAATAATCACTGGTAAGAAGAAAACATGCACCAAAGTGATCAACGTTTTAGTTTCTCTTGCTTCTATTAATATCTATTGAGTTAATAATTTAAGTTAGTTGAAATTTTAATTTTATATTTTGTAATTTTTTAAGCTTTATAACTTTGGTCATTATTATCTGTTTGTTAGATTTTTGGTTGGGTTTTGTGTTTGGTTCGATTTTTGTAGGTATAGAACACGTGTGGTGGGGACATGGCATGGGTTGCAGCTAAATATCCCGGGTGGTCACCCATCCGGGATCAAGCAGCAACGGACACAGTTAACCTCAGATGCCGCGTGGCAGCTGAGGTTTCCACTACGCCACACCCATACCCATGTATTATTTTTAATTTTAGTTGTAAGGAACATTTTTCACTCTTTACTACCTAAATATGCAGAAAATCAACTATTACTAAGACATATTTTATATTTTAAATAACAAAACTGATATTACATATTTTTTTACAGATAGAAAAAAAGCATTTTAATTACAAAAAAAAATTAGAAATCAATCTCGGCTAATTCCTTTATTAGATTAAAACAACTGATCTGAGTCTTTGATTTTATTATAATAATTTCAGAAATTTAAAACCGGTCGAAATCGATTTTTCTTGAAAAATAACTTAAACATTTCTATTTTAGGGGTAAAAATGAGTAATCAAAATTTCAAAAAAAAAAAAGTCTCCTTTTAGACCAAAAGAAGAAAAATTTTGAGGAGGTCGGACCGATGACCACGTGGTTTGACTCAAAACTCGTTAATTTCTGCTACCTTGGCGCAACCGGGTATAACGTGTTTTAGTTTCTTTGTTGGGTATTCACTTTAGAAACAATGTTTATTTAGCAGATAATGACTTAAGTATTTATATGCTTAGAGTTGATAATAGTAGTAAATAACTATGGACTGTAAAATGTATGAAACATAAATATTCTATTTTGATGAATTATTTTTAAAATTTTGCGTGACAACTTTTATCAATGTCGTAGTATTGTTGAACAATTATTATAGGCGTGTCCTTTGTTTGGACATGTTTAAGTGAATTTCTTTGAGTTTTAACGAAGAGTATTCTTCAAATTAAAAGTATTGTTAAATTATTAGATAAAATAGTTGTAATTTATTATAAGCGATAAGGAATTCGTCTATGGTGTATAATCGTTGAGCTGTTTAAAAGGTTTTTGGTGGATAATTATTGGTTAGATCTAGACGTACACATTATATTATATTAGATTTTTATGAAATTTTGTGTACGCGATTAAGTTGATTCGAGAAAGGTTCACAATTTGATCCGATAGAAAATGTTTTTAATTAATTACTATTAATTTATATGATTATCAATAGTGGCAATAGTTATCAATAGATCTACGGTATCATTTTTCATACCACAGAGATACAGTGATCCAATCAGTTGATTGTGTGCCTAATACACTAATACACGGGCAACGCCGGGTCGGGACAGCTTGTATAATTACGTATTTAATCTCGTGTTAGTCGTAGCGCTTCGATGTCGTTACGATTGATGATAAAATATTTTTTTCTTATCATAATATATTATGTTTTCTATGAATATTGTACAAAAAAAATGCAGTATAATTTCAGTGTTTCGCTTTGCGTTTGCAGGTACAGCCGAGTCATGGGCAAACTGAGCGGCTCCGTAGTGATCAACGTGAAACGGCCCGTTTACCAGCTGGAGGATCTCAACGACGTCTATAGCAATGGCGGCGACACCAATATGGAGGAGACCGGCAAACGGAAAAAAGTGTCCAAGCTGAAATGGTCGGACGCCAAGTCCGTGGTACCGGCTATCGACTGGCTATTCACCAACTACAACTGGTCGGAGGATCTCTTTAAAGACTTTGTGGCCGGATTCACCGTGGCCGTCCTGAACATACCGCAAGGCATGGCGTACGCCATGCTCGGAAACGTCGACCCCACCGTCGGTCTGTACATGGCCATATTACCGGTAATCGTTTACAGCTTGTTGGGCACGTCCAGGCACGTATCAATGGGCACGTTCTCGGTTATTTGCTTGATGACCGGCAAGGTAGTTAACCAATACGCCAACGTCAACGACAAAACAGCCGCCGTGCTTGCTAAACCGTTTACTGACTCGGTGTCGCAGGCGCACGTGCCGCTGTACACGCCCATCGAGGTGGCCACTGCCGTCACCTTGATGGTCGGGCTCGTGCAAATACTTATGTACGTCTTCCGGTTGGGCGTGGTCTGCACGATACTGTCCGAGACTCTAGTCAGTGGATTTACGGCCGGTGCCGCCGTCCACGTGGTCACATCTCAAATGAAAGAAATGCTAGGAGTGAAAATCGGAAGTCACAACGGGTTATTCCAAATCGTGCTCACGTACTGTGATATCGGAAACCACATAAGCTCGCTGAACGTGGCCACGGTCATAGTGTCCTGCATGACCATAGCGATGTTGCTCATCTACAACTTGCACGTGAAAGCGTGGATCAACAAAAAACTGTTGATACCTATACCGATAGAACTGATCGTCATCATTATCGGGTCGGCCGTTTTCGAGTTTACTAGCCTATCCACCGACTACAACATTAGACAAGTAAGTGATGGACGACATATATTAAGTCCTAGACCGTTAGCTATATGCTTGTAGTATTATTATATTATATTATACAGTAATGGGAGCTTTAAGTAGAAATTACTTTATTAATAAGGTGAACAAACTTGAAAAAATAAATGTTACAGAAATTGCTACACCTAGATTTCAGCAACTAGGCACAGTGTTAGGCTTTTTATTCACGCATATCGCCCAGTGATACCTTATTAATCTGTAGCAATTTAAGAATGCTCTATAGCGTTGACAGGTGGGGGTAAATTTAATCACCTTATAGACATTGATTAGATTCACTTTGGATCTGTAGTTTGTTGATTTAATTGATTGTAACACGTCGCTTATTATTGACGGTATGATAAAATGTCGGTTAACGAGTGACGACCAATGAATGTCAGTTATTTCCATGCCACTTTTTTAAAACGTAATACAGTACCAATGGACATGTGATATCGTTTAAAATTAGAATTTATAACAATTAGTTCAGTTAATTATGATGCGAATCAATAGATGGTTTTTTTATACCAGTAAAGTCCAAACCAAGCACAGTATAAACCAGCAAAGTAAGAAAGTATTAAAGTGAGTTGCAGTGTTCACGATGACAATATCAATAATATCGAAGAATGCACTGTTTGTTGCTAATTCGCCGTATAAAACTAACATTTAACACTAACGGATTTTACCGAATAAAAGGTCTTTAGATTGTATTTGATCATTTATGTTATGTTAGACAGGTAAATCGCTATCTACAGGATAGTTAATGTGCCAAATGTTGAGCCTTGTGTCGCAAGACAAAAGATGATCGAAACTAAAGATACTGTAAAGTGTTAAGCTCTCGGTTGAGTTGTCGACGGTGTTACGGCTAGCCGTCTTCTAGCCGGTCTCTTCGCGGATTCAATTTAAGTTATTTTGTCTTTTTGATACGGTATAGATAAAATGAGAACTCTGCTTTCTTTTTTTCGTTCGATAACGTCCACAGTGAATGGAATTGTATGATGCACGTGACGGAGTCAGATAAGGCGGTAACGTACCAACGCACGTTTGCCGGTTCGAATCTCGGCCACTGGCGCGGCGGTTTGTTCCTCCGGGCGGGCAACTGTCTGGGAGGAGAAATGCCCACCTGCACCTCTCTCTGGAGCCAATTTGTTTGGTAGAGTTAGGTCAGCAGCCAGCTATAAGCCCAAAAATGTCAAATCCAAACCGTCTAAGATCGATGGGAATAGCGGATGTTAAACGATAGAGAGAGATGTACTCCTTAATCCTCAATGATTTAAGTGACCGTTGAAATTTGATCTTGACTCTTTTAAGACTCTTTTACACATCCGTACGGATTCTCTCTGCCAGTTTTCTTACTCTCTTATAAAAATTAATTTTACACATTAATTCATAATTTATAACATTATTATTTATTACTATTGGTATGTAAACATTTTGTTTTATAACGTAAACGTATTTTAAGAAAATTGGGGTTTCGATTTACAATAGAAGAAATTCGCTAAAGTCGTAGAAACCATAAAATATGATTTTTTAGGTTTCTATAGTAGTTCACATTTAATTTGTCTAACTAATGTCAATTTACGGCCAAGAAAGAAATCTACGAAAATAATGATAAATAACCGCATGCGCGTAAAATACTATCGTTGTGTTTCTGCACTGAATTTTATATAAACATATTTTTTTTTACAGATCGGTGAAATAGAAAGAGGCTTACCGGACTTCAAGCCTCCGCCGGTAAATTTACTGTTGAGCGTGCTTACCGAGAGCGTTATAATCGCCATAGTGGCCTATTCCATTACCATGTCGATGGCGTTGTTGTTTTCGGAAAAACTAAAATATTCAATAGACACCAACCAGGAGTTGTTGGCCCAGGGCGTAGGCAACGTGTTCGGTTCGTTTTTCTCTTGTCTTCCGTTCGCCGCATCGTTGTCCCGAAGCGCCACCCAACAGACTGTGGGCGGCAAAACCCAAATGGCCAGTATCATATCGGCCGGTTTGCTGGTGGCCGTCGTTCTGTGGATTGGCCATCTGTTCCAGCCACTTCCCAGGTGTGTGTTGGCCGGCATTACCGTGGTGGCGCTCAAGGACATCTTGCTGCAAGTGTTTGACATTTGCCGCATATGGAAAACGTCGAAAATGGATGCCATCATCTGGCTTGTCACGTACCTGACGGTCATATTGGTGGAAATCGACGTGGGCCTGCTGGCCGGCGTAGTCGTGTCGCTGTTCTTCGTGTTCAGCCAGGGCATCGGCAGCGGCGTGTACATACTGGGCCGGATACCCGACACCGATTTGTACGTGGACATGGCCAGGTACAAGAAGGCGGTGGAAGTGCCCCGACTCAGGATCATCCACTACTCGGGCAGCTTGAACGTGACCAACCGGAACGTGTTCAAGAAAAAGATCACCGACATATTCTCGCGGTACGACGGCGGCGACATGGTGCCCATCACCATATCGATAAACAACGGCAAGGAGACGGTGGTGAAAACTCAGTGTGTCATATTCGATTTGGCCGGCATGCACTACATCGATACGTCGGGCCTGTCCATGTTCGCTCAGATTGTCGACCAGCTCAACGGAGCCGGCCTGTTCGTGTACGTGGCTGCTGTTTCGGGGAACATCTACGACTGCATGCAATCGCCTAGATTCGGTTCCGTGCACTTTTTCCCGTCCGTGCACGACGCCGCTGTTTATTATTATAACCAGGACAACAGTAGTTGATGTTTGCCATGTATGTGTCCATTCTTCGACAACCTAACCGTCAATCGCTTCCACCAAAAGCGCATTAGTCTCAATCCTTCGTTTCGGTCGACCGCTAATTTTTTAAATTTAATTTTATTTATTCATATTTTTTAAGTGTTATGTCGTTAAACTGACGGGTGTTGTTTTAATTGTTTCGCTACCGATTGGACCGACAGTAGTGTTAAACTGTAGATAAATTTTGAAATTCACGTCAACGCTCCTCGTGGTCTTAGCGCGGGTTCTCGGGTATACGGAACGAAGCTTGATTATTACATACACTTATCCCTGACCTACACAATATAGTATTGCTCCCTTTACGATTGCTCAAGAGATTCTCTTATCGGTCGGACGTATATACGGGTTTTTAGTTCCTCTATCCATCCCCGGGTAATAATTACTAACTTACCGGTTAACGGATACCTTTTGAATAACGTCCACATTACCGTCGATAAGGTATAAATAGCTATTGGCAATAATTTCAGCAACGCAAAGACGAACACATCATCATCTTGACCTTCAATATCGTTTACTGTAGGCCGTTTCAATTGCAGGTCAGATATAGGAGGTATCGTCGGACGTGGTTAATCGGTACACGTGTTGTTGTAACGAAGGTTCCTTTTTTTTATTACCAATTATCAACGAGCCGCAAGGGACGTCAAGTTGCTGTGGTCGGATCGAAAACGCCGTCTGAAATTATTATGCACTAACGCGATTTGTGAAGTTGATTCGAAATTGACCATAAATATCTATTGAAACGAACGTTGAAGACCTTGTTCGGATTTTGCGCCAACCCGATTGTCGATAGAGTAAGAGAGAGGAACCAGGCCAGTCCGACCTAACTCGCCGAAGTCAAAGGAAGTAGGTTTGAATTATTTTTCTACTGACAATTTTTATCAGATTATCGTCCGATGTTTATAACTGACGATGGATGATCAACAAGACGCATAATGTTTAAAAACATTAGGTTGCTTCCGCGGTTGGGATGGGGTTTGTTTGTCTCCATTCGAGTAACGGTTACATACGTTTTTCTAATTGTAGAATAGTTCTGGAGAGGGATATAGGGTTGATGTTGATGTTTTTTTTGAAAATCTTTCTCGCTAAATCGACACAATAGACATACTGCACGCTTTTCCTGGGAAACGTTTGGTTTTCTCTTGGCTATATGTCGCGTTCCTTAAGCACATACTCATCTTGAACCGTGTAAACACAATTCAGACGCAGATTAATAATTATTGGTTTTGGCGAAAGCACCCTGACTTGCGTTTGACACCACCGAACCCCCCTACGAGAGTACCTATTATTGTTAATTAAATATATTATATTAATATACTAATAGTATGTCGACTGCGGGCTGTGTTGTTTAGTTTTTTTACGGGTTTTTGGTAAAATATTTGTATATAGATTTGTTTTTTCTTTCTAATATAATAGTAATCTTTATATTTTATCGTCATTCCATTGTGATGTTATTTGATAAAATAATTATTATCTTTACTTGTATGTATATAAATTATATAATATAATGATTGTTATGAAATGCTAATAACTAATAGTTATGATTAATATTTTGATTATACACAAAATATATAACATTATTATATAGGTATACGTATTATCTATTATAATATAATATATTATGTTATTTCGATATTCTTGTTATAATACTATTTGTTATGTATTTGATTGTTTTTTATTTATTTAATTAGGCTATGTTTTTTTTTCTAGTTTTCCGATTACTACAGGGTCATACAATAAACTGTAATAACACCCACATGATTTATATTATATTGTGATTTTTAGATCTATTAAGTATTATTAGTCAAAACGCTTATTACACTACGGTTTAGAAGAGAGGTTTACTCGGATTCTAAAATTGTGTATAGGTGTTTTATATTAAAAAAAACATTTTTTTTGTATGTAAGATGTCGGCGTATCAGTAGATCGGTGCGATTATATTATCGCCGCCGTGGTTTGTCCAGTGACTAGTGATTTTTGTCCTTAACTTAAGTAAACCGAAGTTACCATCAGAGAAACTTAACCTAGCATTTAGCAAGTGCGTGTATTTTATTGACAAATTTCAATACTTATTATTATATAATATAACGATACGATAGTGCGTGATTAACGGGTACTTAGTCTGTAATGTTATCGTACCGTCCTAGTCTTTAGATCAAAATTATTATAATATAATATACCTATATATATTTGTTTATTAAAACGCGCTGTACGTACTTAAATTTAAGTGTTTGTTCATTGTTAAAAAGATTATTTTGAGAAATGTATTATTTTGTTTATGTGTCCGTTTAAAATATAAATTCATAACAAATTAATATTTACATAAATCTATTTGCTTAAACCTTAGTGGTCGAGTTTCTGCTCAAAGACCATTCAATGGAAATTATATATTAGATAATATTAAAATGCCATTAAAAAATGTGGCTATATTTTCTTCAGAGGTGAATTTAAATATTTTCCGCCTCTAGGCAACTAATTATATTAGCCATTCTACAGTGGTTTTAAGTTTGTAAAAAAAATATTACCACCTCCAGATGAATTGTCGCAACTTCCTATGTTGCCATACTTGCTATGTTCCTATGTTTTAACTCAACTCTCTATGTTGCCTGCCCATAAATCAGTCGCCGATTGTCTTGTTTCTTAGATTTAAAATTGCGAGGAAGGATGTTGTTCTATTTTCGGGGAAATGACACAGAAAATAGCTTAAGGGTACTGTCAAATCGGTAGTTGTACATATTGTGAGACCAATTCCTATCTCCTTCCCTTATCTCTTATCTCTCTTATCAGATAAATCAGCTGATTTTTTCGTTATGATAACCGGTGTCGGTGTCGATTTTTCCGGTTGTGTTTCAAAGTAAAGACATAAAAATGTCAAAAGTGTTTAAAGATGTTTCAATATTTCGACGATTTTTAGGCTTTGAAAGGAAACAATAGTGAATTGCTTACATAATCAACTATTGAATTAATAAATAAAAAATGATATGAAATAATTTTTTTTGTAATTAATTATTAAATTTTATGTCTTCGGTTAAAAAGGATTTGGTATAGCCCCGAAGAGAACATTTTAAAAACTCATCATTATTACAAACCAATAAAATGTTTGTCATAAGCTAAAGCGGTATGGATATTATTTAGTTTAACGATCATTCTATTGGAGGTATTACAGTGCACGAAGGACCGATTTGGCTCACATTAGTTTTCGTGTTTTTAATTGATATATTGTGCTTAAGAAATAAAAATGTATCCATTTAACTAAATTAGATGCATCGACAAGTGCGTAATGCAGTAAAGTAAGAGACGCTCACGAACCGGAGTTCCAATCCGTTTAATCCGAAAACTTTTTTTTAGTTTTCTCTCTCTTTACTTTCATGTTATTTCTTTGTGTGGTTAAATTTAAATAATTAACAACTACATATCATTGCTATTAAAAAAAAAAAAAAAAATAGGTATATTTATATGTTTAGGCCGTAACGTAAAATAAATAAACTGGGTTCGATTCCGATTCACCTTAAACATATTTTTGTAACATGTAAGCTATGCCTGACACATACGCGGAACAACCAAACAAATACGAAGAGCGCCATAAGGCCAAAAAAATAAGACTGGAACCAGCTTATACCATCTTGTACCAAGTACCATCTACGAGTGCTGTGTTCATACAACATGATTCTTAAGAGAGTAGTAAGAAAAATAATTTTTTAATTATCTAGTATAAATTTCATATTTTTTACAATAAGTAAATAAGTTGATTAGAAAACCAAACATTGGAAAACTAGATCGTTACATAAATAACCAATAAATAATAAATAACTTTGATTTCGATCCCGTTTCACACAAAAAAACAACTTTTGTAACATTTTAGCTATGCCTAAGACAAACGCGGAGAGACAAAAAGAATTCAAAGAGCGCCAAAAAACTATTTTCAGAACTTCTCAAGTAGCATCTACTAGTACTTCCACTACATTGTCAATAATGTATCCTCCAAATATATCCCATTCGCCTCAGTAAATGTTATCAACTTCATCAGAACTTGAACAATCATTAGAAGATAGAACTACTATTGAAACTTCAGAATATACCACTGTGGCCTCATATGATGAATATTATAAACATTCCAAACAGGCACGGCGCCAGAATTTTTTTCCTAGGGGGGCGGAAAAGGTCAAGTGAATTTTTTGGAGGGGCAACCACAATAATTTTACCTACTTCTGTCAATAAAAAACAATTATAATAATTTATCAGTGAATGACTTTAATATTTATCAGTGAAATAGTATAAAATATGAATTTATTACAGATTAAGAGACAATATATACTAGTGTACAATTTAAGTAAGGCAACTTTTTTAAATAAGCGTTATTTTTACCTGTCGGCCATCATATAGCTCTTATTGTACTCTATGAAAGTCGAAGTAAAAATGAAGGCTTATAAAACGCCTAACAACCAGTCAGTGGAGATTATAGTTATCGTGTTATACCTACATTCTATTAAACCAAAACAATCCGTCAATAAACACTAAATTTTTGGAAAACACAAACACAAACGTAAATATTATAATTATATATATATATATATATATATGTATAAATATACACCAAAACACATAATTATATGGGCGACGGATTATTGATAACCTATTGCAAAAACACTCAAAATATATTGATAAAAAAAGGCCACATTTAGTGGCAATGTCATAACTAATAACTAAATTTGTATAGATAAACAGGTTTACATCAAAACAACAATTGTTTTCACAATTTCTGTAATAACTAAATTTGTATACATAAAAATACAGTTTTTCAAAATCTGGGTTTTAGGAAAGTTACTTAGGAATAATAATCAAATATTTAAAATTATACTATTTAGCAAAATATCTGGGGGGGGGCGAGAGAAGGGCAAGAATTTGTTATGAGGGGCGACCGCCCACCCTCGCTCCCCCTTGGCGCCGTCCCTGATTCCAAAGCTCACGCTCAATTTCAATCGAGGTTCTTACACAATAACTTTGGTGCTGTATGTAGTGTATGTGATAGATTCTGGTATGATAACGATTTAAAAAGACCTCCACTGCTCCACATTGTTCAAAAGATATTCTTTTATGTGAATTTCCTGGTATTAACATCGAATCATCTCTTGTATGTAGTACTTATTATGCCACACTTAAAAACTAAAAATGTTTACACATAACTATTGTGAGTAATTTCCACGGCTCACTAGTTTTTTTTTATGATAATAAAAGACTTGAGAACTCCTAGGATATACCGGCCGATTCTTTACACCAGTTTTCTCTTAAAATTGTTGAAATTTAGTTAAGTTTTTATTTTTAAAACAATTTTTTAATATTCAAATTTTTATATTTGCAGTATTTTTTTAGAGCTTTATCGACATTTGAAACTTAAATGGCAACACAAACATTTCATTAACTTTTTAAATTGAGAATAATGTACTACAAATTTAGGATAAGAGTTGATTAATATAAATTACTAAATATATATTACTTAAAATAAATAAATAAATTAATTAATTAATCTTAAAAACTTAAGAACTTTAAAATGATTATTCAAAATTGATTTTCGAACAATGCTTTTAGTAAATTATTCTTAATTTAAAATTTTAATTAAACTCTTATACAGTTAACTAAATAAATATATAGTTTTTAAGGTCGATAAAGCTCCAGAAAATTTCAAAAAAAAAAAAGATAAAAATTTAAATATTGTTCAATATTGTAGTAAAAATGTTTTCAAAAATAAAAACTAAAAAATTACAATTATTTTGAGAGTGAACTAATGCAGGGCTCACCCGATAAAATAATAAATACATTTTCCTACAATATACCTATATAGTTATAAGGAATTGGTGTAAAATAATATTTTATAAACACAATTTTTTTCATAAAATGTATGGGTTTTTTTTTTTAGAAATTTTTTTGCAATTTTAGAATTTATGAGTTGGAAATTAGTCTTAGAAGATAGGTCTAACATATACGAATACGGCACTCAAAAAAGAAAAAGTAACAAATATGTTATTATAAAAACATATTATAGACTTATTTATATGCTGGCAAATACTCTTAATATAGGTACATATGTATTAAAACGGCTTGTTTATATCGTAACTGTTATTATTGATGTTAATATTACATTTGTTTCACCGCACCATTTCAGTGTAAAACAACATATTTCTCCAAACCGTTTTTGCTAATTTTTCCTGTTTCAAAGGATTTCTTACAGCTAATACAATATGTATAAACTATATTCTACGGTTTTTGTGTTGATGGTCGTTGTGTTGATTGGAACAACGCGCCAGTCAGCACTACATGAAGTCATTTGAAATTTGACGATGGATAGCCGCCATTTGCACTGGAGTGTAGATATGATTTCCTACCCGGGTTTTTGCATGGTGTTGCCCGAAGTCAAAAGACTTGACAGAACTTCTCTTATTGAATGCGGAAAACCGGATTCGTCGAACCTGCAGGTCGACACACAAGTAATAAACTTCTCTTAGAAATTTACATATTATTTTGTTTTTAACAGTTATATACCTACCCCACCGACCAGAACTTGTGAGTGTAAAATTAATTTTTGAAATTTAACTCTATCGCTGTATTCTTCAAATGTATTTAACAGGTTGTTGGAACGACCTTTCTGACTGGCATCCAGAAAATAGGCAAAGGCCTATTCGCAAAGGTGCGTTACGCAGTTGTGGTCAGTGCAGTAGCTATTGTGCTGATTTTTGCTAGTATTGTAATACTGGTTCTCTTACTCACGGCTATTGCACCTTTGCTACTTATATTGACTTTTTATGCACTGTTGCTGAAACAACTGACTATCATGGTATTTCTGCCGCTGTTTCTAGTGTGGATAATCGTCAGTGTCATTGTAATTTATATCGTTATTCATTTGAAACTTTCACATATCATATAATGTTATTATACATTAACAACTTTCGCATAACTTATATTATTATTGTATAAACTAATTGTATATACTCCAAGCAGCTGTACATCACAGCCATGGTGCGTAACCCGTCTTATACAACTTGCAACACAAACTATATAATATTGTAAAATAAAATGATTTTGTGTTTCACAAGTTTACTGGTTTGTTTTTTTATGCAAATATATTTTTTAGTAATATCGCATGTTATCGGATCTTGTATGTAGTACTTATTATGCCACACTTAAAAACTAAAAATGTTTACACATAACTATTGTGAGTAATTTCCACGGCTCACTCGATTTTTTTAATATACTTCTGTACACAGTTAAATACTTGATAATTTATAATACATTGAATATTTGAAACAAATTAACTTTATTAGAGGGGTCATAATTTATTTATAAAATTAAATCTATTTTTCTAGGTTTTTTGGCTAGCTCATCTATTATTTCCTCAGTATCTAGTTCTATATTTTTATGAACTGCCAGCATAGCTAATCCATTCAATCCAATCCAATCCGTTCCTGTTTTAAAAGAAATAATAGTTAATTATTATTAAGATGCATTGACAATTATTTAATCACAATGCATAAAATGTTAGCATTTTTTGTTCTTACTTCACACATGGTGTTTCTCAAATATGTCTTTACTCTTTTTAGAGTGGAAAACATCCGCTCCGGTGTGGTGGTTGATACTGCCAATGTGCATTAAATGTTTATAATTTTAAATAAATTGGGAAACATTTGATCATCACACTCAGTTAGAGCTTGAAGAGCTGATTTCGGAACTGTATGATAGGTACAATGTGAAAACCAAGATAAGGACTTGGTAGGTTAAAGGTATTATGTTTTTATTTTACTCCCCATCATCCCCCCCATAACTACGCCACTGGTTACACACCTACACAAACCCAACCGAAAACTCACCAGCTAATGGCCAAAGTTAATTTTAATAATCTTAAAACTATTTACTAAAAACTGGTTATCGACCATATAGAATTTTATTTATCACATTTTTTCGCTTTTTCGTTCAGGGATTACCAGCAAATCATTTATATTTTATTTATTCTCGTTTGCAGCGTTGCAAAGGTTGTGTTTTTGTAGCCTACCCGCTATGCTTATTATTCCGTAAACCGACAGCGATGTAGTCTATCTGAAATAACTAAATAAAGCCCACACGCTGCTCGATTGGTTTAAGAAACCTACCACGGGGGCGAGAGATGGGGTGGGTGAACGTAGGCGACCCGTTAAATGTGAACTCATTTGCCGTTAGAAAAGTTAAAACGCACTTTACAAACAAAATTATCGTAAGAACCGTAATATAGTTATCATAAAAACTAACGTATTAAACGAAACGTACAAAAACAGTACATAATATGGCTACATTAATTTAAGTTTGAATTGGAGTAACAATAAGGATAGATGCTGTTGTATAGCAACCACCGTTGCCTGCGTTATTTACTCAAATTAATGAGGGGCTTGTTTCTATAAGTGTATACGTGTATACTTCACAAAAACCTATTAAGATGAATCGTTCGAAATAAAATGCGTTAAGTATTAACAAAAAAAAAAGAGAAAAAAAAGTGAGTGATGATTACACTAAAACATTTTTGTTCAACTTGATTCCAACTTATAAGAATATTATTCGTGAAGCGTTTTTTCACGATGTAGTTAAAAACATGTCGATTCGGTTATTCGGCCTATCCGTGGCACTACTATAAATGTAGGTAATAATAATACGGATACTAAGTCTGTATCTGTTGTTGTTATTTTTTTTTAAATTCCAAATGTGTACCTCTGAAATGACTGGAGCATAAATACGTTGTTTTGGGGTTACTATGCGCGCACACTCCGTCGTCAGCAACATCCCCTAGCGGTGTTTCCCAGGGGAGGTCGCCGCTTGGCGCCGTTTGGAGATTTTCAGTTGGCTCGTCGACGTTCCACCGTAGAGTTGTTCAATGCTAGACATCAGTCGTTTAATTTTCTTTCGGGTTACTAAATTTATTGTTACATATCATCAATTTTTAAAATAATAATCGCACCGACAAACAATACAACATATTCTGCAGATCATTCGAATCGTGAGTAATGATCGTTTTAATTTTCAACACGTTATAATTATTATAAATATTTATATTTTACAAACGAATAGTGTGTTATATAACATTCAAATTGCCGCACAGAGGTAATTAACGGAAATACTGAAGACTCATAGATACAAAATAAATATCTCTATGACGGGCATAATATGTTTTTAATTCACACTCAATACATATATGTACCTATACTGTAATATTGTGTTACGTCTTTAAAATAATAAGAATGTTGCGTTTTAACAAAAGACAATTATACATAGAGTATTCTTATCTTACTGTTTTTACGTGTTCAACCATAAGGGATCTGATGGTAAAACACATTATACTAACATAATTGTAATAGAGCAAATTACTTGTAATAAATCAAATAGCTGCTATTACCTACATTAATGTATCGTTGAAATGTTCATAAATGGCAATTTGTTGTTTAATTTGCCACCTCTGTTTGTAAATTTTAAAAATTACTTAACGAGATGTGTATATAACTAAAAAAATCACTAAGTAATTTACGGATACGGCAATTCTTGTTTTAGAATAACCGTGTTAGGTTAACCGTTATTATGTATGTAATAGAGTATATTGTATTGTGTTAATTATTAAATGTCGATGAATATCTACTCCACATATTTATTATTAGACGTATTAAGCCAGTCTGAACGACAATGAATGATTTAGACCGAGTAGAGTTTGGAACGCCGAATTATAAATATGGAGTAACACAAAATAAAATATTCTGTCTTTTAAGTCATTAGAAAAACCTTTAGAAAACTTGATATAATTAGTAATTCATTAACGTTTGACATATATTGTAGAATAAAGGAATTTGTGCAAAGTAAAGAATTCAGAAAATAGGGTAGGTATTAAAATTGGGATAAGGAAGTAAGGAACTATCTTAGGTAATAACAACTAATATTTTTTTACAGTTTCTACGACTGAAAAAAAATTCTAATATTAAAATTAGTTATCTTTTATACGTAGAATTACAGCCAGGGGAATACTTATAAATAAGTACTTATAAATAAATGGGGTCAATACAATATTGTTTTATTTAAAACCAACAATTAAGTATTATACTTTTTTAAATTTAGTCGACATTTTTATTATAATTTATATGATTAACAGCATATTATAGGTAGCAAATTAAATAAAATACAAAATTGTTCTGTATATTATAAAACCAAAGAGCAACTACAATTTAAATAACAGTCAACAGTTAAAGTTATTAAGAATTAAAAGAATGATTTTGTCGGTACTAAATAGACTTTAAAGTTTTTGATAAAATCTGTTTTGTTAATTATTTTATGCATTTTACATGCAATCACTATATTAAGTCTGTAAAACAGTGCTAATGCGATTCACAGTTAAAATAAATATGCCATGTTACATTATTACTATACATTTTTGAACAAAAATAATAATACTTGCAACAGTTAATAAAATCAATCTATTGTTCGATAAAAGAATGTCTTGTTGATATTTCCCCGAACAAAAAATTAAATAAATATTCGATCTAACGATATTTGTACGTGACTAAGTTGATTTATGGTTTAAGTATGGCTTAATTTATTTTTAAGTTTTTCGGGCCAGTTATAGTTGTAAATACTTTTAAAATAACAAAGGACTTTTTTATAATTTTTTTTTATAGAAGTTGGATAAAATAATATCATATAATGTTATTTGATATAAAATATTTTAAATTAAAGAAGAGACAACCTTATATAAGTAGAAACAAGTAACAACCAGGGTTGGCACGTATTATACATTTATATTTTATTAATAATTGGTGTATAAAATTATAAAGTACAATTTTAATTAAAAAATACCATCTTGTCAGTGGTGTTTGGGTTGTGTTCAACTTTTTTTACCTGAAAGATTTATATTTTTGAATTTCTATTATAACTTGATGCAAGTTTTACTTTATTATACTATTAAGTACTTTATAGTGTTGGTTAATTATATTGTTATTTTTATATTATATTGTTACGCAAGATGAGTGACTGTTTTTTTTCTTACTTGAATAATTTTTACTTTTTATTTCTATTATATCTAACTTTTAAAATGTATAAAAATTGTAAGCAAAATGCAACTATTACAAACTGACCTCTTTTGTTTATGGATAATATATATTAATATATCCTTTATTGAAACATTCAGTTATAAACTAATTAAGTAATATTAAATATTAATATTGATTAGTATTTATTTAATTCATTATATTAGAAAATTAATAATTTTAATAGTTTTTAAATACATTTTTAATTAAATTAATTTCTAGACTAGAAAATTCTTGTATCTAGGAGTCCAAGCCACAATAGAAACAATTTTCCACTCCCAATATATATTTTAAAAAAATGTTGCTTCTTAGTACGTTAAGTATTTTTAAGAAAAAAACAGGCATAAATGTATACGTATTTTATATGTATATAAATGTATAACACATGCGTAAATACATGTTGGTGTATAAGACTATTATGCATAAATTTACATTGTATATTTTAAGTGAAATTTGGAGCAAATTTAACGGCTAGAATACTGTATGAAGAAAGCAAGGAGGAAACTATCTCATTATTACTCCCAAGATAAAACGATGAAACTCGAAGAATGAAAGTGTATATTCACTGCGACAATGCCTAAGTTTTTATTAAATAAGAGAAAAAGAAAATAATTTCAAAAGTGTTTTAAAAAAAACTTATAATCCAAAGGGAGTATAGTTTAGAGAATATTCCCGTTTAAAATGAAATGTTTACACTATTTCTATTGGTTTTGAAATTAGAGCAATAATGGTTTTGATTTAGTCTAGAACTTAAGACTAGAATTTAGTTTCGACTAAATTCCACTTAATGAACTCAGCACGCGTTACGTATATTGTATGAACACTAGTGATTTTTACTATGATTACTAGTAATAATTAAAATAATATAAATGAAACACATTTCCAAGAGCGTGGGTTACAGTAACAGGGTGCAAGTAAATTTACCCTAGATCCCTAAATGTATTCCAAGTTCCAACTGTTAAATCGTAGTGATATAATGGAGAGAACTGTATACAAAAATAGTTTTCACTAATTTGGGACCGTTTATAATCCTATTGCAGGCCGTTTATCTGAGGAAGTCTCGAAAAGTCTATACATTGTATACTTCGATAGTAATAAAAATGGAATAATATCATTTTTAAATCTAAAAAATTATTTAAAATGCATATTTATACATAAACACATATGTATTGTATATAACTGATAAGGGTCTACTGTCTAGACAATAATTATTTTTGAGTAGGTAACATATTTTACTACAGTTGTAATTTAGAAAATAAAACCTTTTGTAATGTACATTCTAAACTATTTTAATAACTTTATAATGTCTTAATTTTAGTTTCTATTTGAATAAATTTAGATAAAATATAAACAATAAAATATAGTAGATATATTCAGTAGTTCCGAGTCTAAATATTAAACAACTTCTTAGTATCAAATTTTTTTTGTTATACTTTTTAGGGCTACTTTTTAGGTTCCTTCGTTGTTTTCCTTAAAATAATCCACCAATCTATGTTATACATAAATAACTACACAAAATATAATTACGAATTATAATTATAAAACTTCATGCAGATACATCATTACATGGATATGTCCTGATAGTGATAAGTATATGATTATTTCCGATTTATAATCTCCTTGTGATATATGATGATAGTATTGTCTTAATTAAATGTCCTGGTCAAACGTTTTTTAGTTGTTTTATAATATCTGGCCTTAATCGATTTACTGGCAATATTTAACAATATTCAACATTTTTCTTAAATAATATCTGTGGTTCGCCGATAAGTAAGTGCCTACCTAACAAATTCATTTGACTATCCTTATACGTCCTTAAATCCTTATGTATCCTAATATCCTTATATATCCTGCAACTGTTATTTTCATAACATAATTCTTCCATGATTCAAATGGACAAATTTTCAGAATGACCCCAGTCATAAGATATATTATCCATGTCAAAATTTATAGTACCTACTTAAAATTAGGTGTACATAATTAGGAGAACCTAATCTCTTATCTCTAATATATAATCACTTACAAACGCTAAATCGCGCCACACGCACAAATTTTCCTCAGCGTGATGCACGCATGCATAGATTTTCTTATGACCCCCAGCCATAAGACATATCCATGTCAACATACAAAAAACTGAACAATATATAAAAAAAGGCGGGTCTCCATTAACCTAATTATTAGGGATTATTTTTCATGTTTATATAGCTACTAGTGATGTGTTATGGAACAAAACTAATTGACAGTACTGAAGCCCCCAGATACGAAAATGATACTTGATACAAACTGAGGTGCATCTATTCAGAATGGCAGTATCCCGATATTTAAAAAAAATGAAATATTTATTAGCCTGGGCTTATTTGTCCACTAGTATGAGAGATAACAGTGAAATGAGAAATTAATTAAACAAACTTAAATTGTGAATTACAATTATTGTAACTAGACATTTTTGCGTAGCAGATAGATTATTTTCGCTTCATCTTTTAAAAACGCACACGAATCATGAACAACCACACAATGTTTAAATTAAAAATATAATAACAACTCGCTCATTAATGAACTACAAATAACTTTCCTTTTTATCGCTTTTGAAAACCTGTCTACAATATATTTCCACATTAGCTCTAAAAAAAAATGCACTGTTTTTCATATTATAATGTGCATCTCACATTTAATATTTTCCTTTTTATCGATTATACGTTACTCGATTTCAACGAGAAGACTTGCCGGAAGAAGTTCGGATACAGTCTTTTTTAATAACCGCTATGAACACACGTTTGGCTTAGAAAATAAACAAAATTAGTTTGTGGCTTTGACACTTTTATAGGCAATTTTGTTATACTTGTGCATAGCGTGTGGCGGTTAAATGAGAGTGCTCGAATCTGCAAAAACTAATAACTCCAAGTTAATATTTCTTTTCGAAACAACTGTTCAGTATTTAATTTATAGCTTTCAACATGTATAAATGTTATTATTACAAGTTAAATACATTAAAGACATGTATTTAACCTAAACGCTAAAATAGCTGATGTTTATTATATAATATATTATGATTAAAATCATTCTGTTTTTCTCTTTACGAGCATTATGAAAACAATTTTTTACCAAATATCCCTAATATATCTTTTTTCGCTTCTCTTTTTTTGTGATAATTACAACTTAACCTAACCTAATCTTACTTGGCGTGGCAACTTTTTATAATATCCATTGAGACCGTGGTGACCTTATTCTTCTTTTCAGCAATCATTAGTTACTAAAGTAAAATATTTGTATTTATTTTATTGTTTTGTGGTCCAATATGAACGTTAGCGCGTCAACAGTAGTAAAAAAGAGTTGTCAATAACAAATTATTGGTTATCTATAGTATACCGATTTCAAAATTCAAGTATAACCTTTTGGATACCTGCATCGCAATAATTACAGATAAGAAATGTATTATCCTGAGCAAACACGTATGCTTTGTTCGTTTATCCCGTGAACTTCGACTGATATTATAGTACTTTAACTTTCATCAATTTTAATTAACTTTTATAATTTTTTAAATAAATATCATATGGACATTTAAAGTAATTTTAAGCTACTTTATCTCCCTTTAACCACTTTTGAGTTGCTGGCAATTTTATTACCTTGGAAAATAGATTATAACTTATCAGTTAGGTACTATAAAAACGAATTTTAAATGGATATTAATACAGGATTTTATATAAAATTCGAGTTCAGCGTTCCCAAATTAATATAAACCGATATGCGATATAATAAATTGTACAAAACTAAAAAACAACACTCTAACGCATTTTAACCGCTCCTAACTCTGAATGTTTGAGAGTTCATTAAAAAAATGATATAATTGAAATTAGTAATCCTAAAAATATGTAAGTCTATATACAAAACAATATTTTTACGAAGTTGAAAAAATATCTATAATATTTCACAAAAAGACTCCATTCCCTAACCATTAAAATAAGAGATTTGTTCTAAATTGTTTAAAAAAAAAATGTATATTTATGTTAAACTTAAATTTAGGGATCACAAATCATACAATTTGACCTATCCTTCGGTTTCCTAACATAAAAAATTAAAGGTATTACTTATAATGCACTAAAAATTCATTTTAGACCACTGTGCGCTGGGTATACATACAGTTCTCTAATACTTTAGTAATAATTAATAAATATATTACCATGTTTCTTTATTTAAAGTGAATAAATTATTTAGTTTACAAAAAATATTTCTATTTTTATGTATAAAAATGTGTTAGTAACCACACGTATCATTAATTTGCAAACTATATATTAGTATGGACAATTAAGTTCAAACAGAGTTTTAATAACAAAATTGTGATTGCTTATTTTAGTATGCCACTCGAGGACAATAGAAATAGTTAATTTTGTTTTCTTGAGAAACGTAATGAATAATGATTGAAAGCACTAGCATTTACAGCGGTGTTTTTGCTTTTGTTTTATGTATACAATTATAATTTAGACGTAAGTCACTGGTCAATATTTACCAAAAAAAAAACGTTTGAATTGTTTACATACAGGACTGTTCACTACCGGGTGAATAGACACTATAGTATAGTCAATTTCATTATTGTGTTATCAACCAATATACCAATGACGCTGAAAACTATCACCGTTCTAACTGGATTTCTCATTTTATTGGCAAACCTATAATATCCAAGTATCCAACCAAGATTAAGATCAATATCTATAATATTTTATCAGTCTAGAACTTCGTAAATGGCACCCATTCTCAACTTTTGTTAGGTTCCATTAAGAATTAAATTGTTTCATAATGCGCATTGGACCATACTACATAACGATATCTATATTTTATCGTGGTTTCAAGCGTTTAAAAGTTTTATATATTTGTTCTTAGCGTTTAGTTTCAATATACATTTGTTCAAAACCCAGTGAACATTAAATTGCCTACACGTATACCCTTTTGTATTTACCACCACCGCCCTTTTGAAGTTGTTTCAGCTGTATATGTTATTGTGTATTTAGTCTTCTTAAATATAACATAACAATATTTTTTTTTGTAAATCTTCACCAACGTAAAAAAGATATTTTTTTAGTTGTATTATTTGAGTTAGTTGTATAATCTATTAAGTTTTAGTAAATTAACACTAACTAACAACTAATGAAACATCAATTTTAAAATGGTCAGGTTATAGGAAAGATAGAATTAATTTTAGCCAAATAATACAGGTCATCATACATTATAGATAGTGGTAGTGAAAAAAATAACAATAGATCGGCATTATTGCAATTTTCAAGGGTGTAGTGATAATGGACGACCTGGGGATATTGTGAAGTTACACGGGCATGGTGTACGTATGCTGAGAGAATGGCGAGTAAGGGTCGAGAATTGTTACAAGGGTTGGCGTCGGTCAAGCGAATCCTTGTGCGTTTTGCGTGTTCGGAATTCCATAATACCTTAATACATACATTCAAGCACATATTATGCCATTTGTCATTTCATTTTCAAAGCGTAGTTCACTTTCCTACCTACAACAGAGTCCATATCACTCAAGCCACCCATTTACGACCACCAAGCGTACCGACGTTCTTTTATCGCTTTGTTGATTGATTTATTGATAAGTATGTCTTGTCATTTTTATTAGGTTAAGAATTAACAAATTTTACGAGGTTGAGAGGATTGGTGAATTAAAAAAGTAGCGGAGCCTTTAAAGTATAACATTCACTATTTTCTCAATAATGAATAGACAAACTGTTATTTATAAAAGAAACCAACGAAAAACGGGGAGAATTACACTTTGACCGGATCGTAGTCAATTTCCAGGTTGCTAACCTGGAGTACTAGTTTGCTAGCCTAGTTGCCAACATGAGTAAATCAACAGGTATAATCATTCCTGTAGACATGTGACCTCTTTGTTCCCACTATCGACCTAGTTGAAACCCAACTTACACTACCATTTAGTAACCGGTTTCTATTTAGTATTTTTTGTAATAGGTTTTTGATTTTGGTTGCTGAATAAAATCGAAAATAAACGTTTATTTTAATTCTAATCTTATATTTTGGTTTTGGGTTTTTAATACTATAAGGTATTTGGGCTTTTCAGATTTAAAGTCCTGACTTTAAGCCAACTCTTAAATGCCGGGTACGTTCATTAAATGTTTAATAAATAATGTTTTTTGGTCCCTTCAACATCTATGAGTGGTTAGTAAATTTCATTGAAATCAAACCATTTTGCTTTTATTAATTTTACTATATTCATTTGCGCGTAGAAGTAATTACTTTCTACCCTTACAATCCATGTACATTAAATTTATTTTTAAAAGCAGTGGGTTTATTTATACAATAATTTTATGAACTAAATTAATAATATAATAAATAAATGTGAGTCCTTATAGATATTCTTATGTACGTCGACGCTAATAATTAACTAAATATACCTATATAATATATAAAAGTTAATCATTTAATTTATTTATCTGTTTTGTATTTTTCAGAACTTGTAGAAAATGACACTGAATAATGTATCAACTGTGTTATAGTATCAAGATCTTGACATAATTTTGTTTAATTAACAGCAGTCGCCGACATCATGGACTACATAAAAGATTTTCAAATACAATTAGATAAGGAAATGTTTTATGCCGGTGAAATACTTGAGGGCCAAGTGATTTTAAACACAATCGAGAACTTCAAGCTAAAATGTAAGCTACGATAAGTGAAATTATAATAGTTTTAGATTTACACAGTACGTCGATTCAATGTAAAATGGTTGTCCTCTAACAATCATATTATAATATTAGTACCAGAATAGGTACTCATTCTGTCAATATAGTTGTTTTGCTATTATACAGGGTGATCATAATCTCGTGAACCACTCAATATCTCACTAGGTTTAGTTAATAATTTAATTTTTTTTTTCATAATGTTTTTATACAATATGATCGCAATTTTTCACCATTTTTATTGTTTTTACTCTTCCCAACTTGGTTAATTTGATAGCAACTTTTGAAACTTAAATGGTAACGCATACATTTTATTAACATTTTTAATTGAGAATAATGTACTAAACATTTTAACTGGTCGATAACCAGTTTTGGATAACTATTTTTAAAGTTAAAAGAATTTAAAAGTTATGATGGATGAAGAAGTGCGGTTGGGAAATGCGCGCAGATAAAAATATATTTACCTCCATCTTTGCTCCTGCCCTGAACTTAAATCTTAGCCGAGTAGATTATACGAAAAACAATTTAGGAACCAATTACTGTAAATCAGCTTTGATGGACTTGGTTCACACTGACCGAAGGTAGATCTAGAATGGAACTATAACATGTAAAAGGTTTTATCTTTGTTTTGGTTGTGTAATAGTAGTTTATTGTATGCATTTGCCATAAATAAAACTAAAATGTATATTGCAGACTACAGGGATATGGAAAAATGTATAACATTCCCAGTTAATTTAAATGTGAATAGACTAATTATTGGTATAACCTCTTCAACTCATCTTGATCCCATCCACCCTTTTGGGCGAACTAACTTAGTGAATGAATGCTGAATAGTACCAAGATGTACTGGATGTGTTATACATACTGTTATTACTTACTATTCGTGTTAATTTGACCACTTACAAATATTTAGGGTTTGTTTTAAATATTAATAGATGATTGTTTAACTCTACAAGAGTATTTTATTTAAAATAATTATAATAGTAATAATAATTTTTTTTTTAAATTTTATTATTTTTACATTTCGCGTTTGATCAGAAAACATGTTCAAAAAGTATTATTTATCATGTATATTTATAATATTACATTTCCATGTCAAAATCAATTATTTGTTCCCGAATCGGTGAAGTGTATTTTGAGCTGTTGTTTCATTTATTCCGCTTTTTCTTTGGTACATTCAAATTATAATGTTGTCGAAAAGCAATTAAATTGCATCGATTGTCTGCGTGAGCGAATATTTAATTTGAAAAACAATTCTAAGAAAAAGAATCACGAAGTACACAAGGACTAATATAATATAAGTGTACATATTATGTGACGCGTATCATCCGTTTGAAATGTCACAATTCCAAAATTATTGGTTGAGTACAACAATACCACGGATGTCAACCAGTATTTAACTATGGACTGCGGTATTGTGTGTACGTTGTTCATATAAGTTGAAGAAAGAAAGGCAATTATATTGACTACTACAGTTTGTTTTAAGGATAATGCGAGTACTGATTAATGTTGACATGAAACAGTAAAAGTAAGGATGTAAAACGAGTATTGTAAACAAAAAAACATGTAATAAAATTAATGTTACCTTAAATTGTGAAAACCGGTCAGTTTTATCATTTTTGACATTCGGACACAGTCTTCCGTGCATTAGATTACCACAAAGGTAAAGTCGTTGGGGTTGATATTTGATATTTCTATTATATCAATTCGTCCTCCCTTTTATTTATTTACGTTTATTGCTGTACAGTTATCATGTTTCGTTTTCCGTTCTTGTGTACAAACAGATTAGTACTACTGATGCGGTATATCATTTTTTATTTGTGTTTAATAATCATGAATGCAGTGTGTATAATATTTTATACAATCTGTAAGTAGGTTTACACTTTTATACGGTCTATATTTAAAAGGAAATGCGAATGTTTTTGTTGACAAATCGATATTTCAGTCATGACGACACTTGGAAATACTGAACTTCTGGGGTCTTAGTAGTACGGGCAAGAGGCATAAACAAACTTAACATCGTAGAATGTTACCCTATTTTCGGTAGTCGACGCAATATACTCGACTCCGAAGTAATCTTTGAGATTTATTTTTCTTTTCACTTTCCCTCCACTATTCCATTTTATCTCTTCCAACTTAATCCCTCTTTTGTCATGTCGCAATGACTTTGGATAAATGGACAGATGTGCCCAATACTTGTTGGCACACATAAACAGTGCCCACACAACTAATAAATAATAACAATAATAATATAGTATTATTAATATTGATGGAAATAGTTTGAAAGTAACAACGGTAATCCCAGTAGAGAAATTCGAGATTCAGTGATTCTAGTGATTCAGAGAAATAGTCCTACAGCTTATTCATAAAAGAAATTGTTTCTTAAAAATATACTTAACCTTATGATACGTTAAACAATGAACTAACCAGATTATTATTTTTTTGACTTGGGTGCAAATCGGAAATAGGTTTGTTTGTAAAATTCTTTAGAATTTAAATACTGTTTATACAACTTGAGCTGGATACATAATCAATGTAAAATATACATTATACTATTCATAAATATTTAAGTTGTAAAACAAAATTTACGTATTTGCCTAATAAAAACCTTATTTCATTTTGGGGAAATTAGTATTTTATAACCATATTAAACGGTTGTAATCATAGCCATACATTTTTATACCTATATTAGCAATGTATACTAAAGGTACTTGTAATAATTGCACCTCTAGAACAAAACTGCTACAACTCAAAATTTATAGTTTTGAGAAAAAGTGATTTGAAGTTTGTAACTACGATATTTTACAGCGTTTTTTTAGCTATGCGTTTGAAAATAAAAACTTAAATACTTACAAACATTTTTTACAATATGACTTCTTCAAATGTTATGAAATATTAACTTAAACCCAAAAAGTTAGACTTATATCCGCTTACAATTTTATAAGTGAATGCAAGACTGCCATATTTTGAGATGTGTCTGTATTGCATACACAAAATGATTTTAAGATAGCCATATACTAAAATATGGCAGTATTGAATTTAAGCTATGTACATTTTGTAGCCGTAAAATTTATTATAGCAGTGTTGCATTTTAAATTACAGAACCAGAAAATTATTTTTTATATAGCGTAAGAAAGCCACAAATCGAAATGAGGCAGTCTTGAATTTTGACTTCAATAATATTAATTGGATAAATGAAAAAAATGTATGTTGTCATAAAGTAAATATGGCTTTGTTGCTTTGAAAATTAGCTAAAAATTGAATAATTCTACAATAACACATCTTTCTAGTGGCAAAATTAAAAATGTTATTGAATTGTGGCGTTCTTCCACTGAGTAGAGCTGATATTTGGCTACCCGAAAGTGGTCATAACTCAAAAATGATAAATTTTGAGTTGTGGCAGTCTCGTTCTAGAGGTGCGGTATAGTTTGTAAAGCATTTTGCACAATAAATAAGTCGATGTTAATGGTAGAAAGCACTTCTAAACAGTATTTAACCCTAATCTAGTCAGGTCAGTATGCGCAAGTGTAGACGGTGCACGTACACTAGACCCAAAGCGTTGTTCTCCATGCCACCAGTTTTTTCAAAATTTAATATATATATATATATATATATATATACAAGGTGATTTTTTTATCACGGGCCACTCAATATCTCATTGGGTTACATTAATTATTGAATTTTTTTTCCATAATGTTTTTATGCTCAATTTTTCAGTATTTCTTTTGTTTTCACCCCCTCCTTACTTAGTTTTTTTGACAGCAACTTTTGAAACTTAAATGGTAACGCATACATTTTAGTAACTTTTTAAATTGAGAATAATGTACTACAAATTTTGACTGATCGGTAACTAGTTTTGGATAACTATTTTTGAAGTTATTCAAGATTCAAGTGCAGTAGGTATTATTTTTATCTTTGTGAATTTCCCAACCGCACTTTCCCTCCCATCCTAACTTTTGAACTCTTATAACTTTAAAAATAGTTGTCCAAAACTGGTTATCAACCAGTCAATTTGCTTAGTACATTATTCTAAAATTGAAAAATTAATAAAATGTATGCGTTACCATTTAATTTTTAAAAGTTGCTGTCAAAAAAACTTAGCTGGGAGGGGTAGAATACGATTGCGTACGCTGCTCATCGGCGGTACCTTTTTTATAACACGATTCCGTACGTTATTTTTGTGCAACGTTGCCACCTGGGAAATATGTTCAATTTCAAAAGGTATCAATAAAAATATGGCTACATCTCATTTTAAACGGATTCAATCTCCTATTAAGGGGGTCGGAGCACAACTAGTTTTCATGCGTTTTAGACCAATAAGCACTGCTAAATAAGACATACTTTCCAATGTTGGATTTAAATTTTTTAAATATGTATGCAATTGTTGAAAAATGTTCTAGGTTTCATAGGAAGACGATTTTCAATTTTCTCTTTTGAAGACCTTCAAAATTATGATATTATTTTTGAAAATTCAGTTATGTCTAATTTAGAGCCGCTTATTGGCCTAAACTGCATGAAAACTAGTTGTGCTCCGACCCCTTTAATGGGTAGATCCTTTTTATTATTTTGGTATCTATACTTAACTTTTTTTTGTAAAAACCATGCACAAAAAAGTTGTATTTTATAAATTATTTTAATGGTAATTTTTAGATAATTAGTTTTTAACTTTAAAATCACAAAACTTATTATGGTGTACTTTGAAAATTGTATAATTAGAAATTTGGCAACGTTTCATACGCAATCGTGACGTTTTACAGGTTTCCATTGTTATACAACCACCATACGCAATCGTGTTCCCAAAAAGGTAAATCGTACGAATCAGCATATGATATATAGCCCCGTAATCTAGTTTAAACTTTTATGGTTTTAAAATTAAATTCGTTCGGTAGTGAATACATCAATATCTTTCAATATTGAAAAATACTTCGCAGACATGATTTGCAGTATCATTTGGCCTTTTGCCAGGAATTTCTTTTCAATTGTTATGTTCAATAATGACCAAAATACGTGTAAAACTAAAAACTACCTATAATAAACAATGAACCTCATAAAAACAAATGCTCTGCTTTTGATAGCTAATGGTCTATTACTTTTGCCTTTATATCTTTCTGGATGTTGTAACTAGGAATCGACCGCAAAACATTATGTATAGCCATCGCGTTGTGTTTGTACAATTGTTTTAATTGACTGCTTGTCAAATTCACTATTTCTCTTAAAAATTGCATTATTTTGAAAATTGATCCTTAAAATACGAGCTTGAAAAATAGACACTAAATTTTTTTAAATTAAATTAAATCCGGGGAGGTCTATTATTTTGTTATTTTACAGAGTAGCCGCATCGAACACATTTTCAATTTGACATCATTTATTTTCTCATTTAATTAGATGATAATGTTCTTATTTCTATGCATTGAAGCAAAGAATTGAGAAAAATTGTTTACTATAAACCGAAAATATTAATTTTCTTATACTTTACCGGCTTATGAAAAATTCAAGTTTACAAAATGTATTATTATGACGGTAGGTATATCGCTTCTCCGGCGGAACAATGGTGTAAGTGCAAATTTTTGACATTTTGACTTAAGTACGAAAACAGTACGATAACATTTCATTTTATCGAGTAAAACAATGGCATAAGTGTATTACGGACAATACCTATTATTGACCGTTAGAGAGCAGTTTTGTCGTTTACCATCGTGTACGGTTACCATTACACTAAAATTTTAAATCACGTTTTCTGAAGAACAGTTAAATTTGCACTTACACCATTGTTCCACCGGATAAGCGATATGTTGTTAACTGGTTAGGGTCTTGTACATGTGCAATATACGAGTACATTAAGTCTAACTAATGAACAACTCATAATTGTTTTTACAAACTGTATACTTTTTGTTTTCACCATTCAGTTTTCATTATAACATTCCTTTATTTTCTTGTTGAGATCTTGTTATTAAAGTTAACTACTCAAATAAAATTAACGATTCAATACTTGGAAACCACGTGTAAAGTAGTACCGGAAACAAAGTCTTAAAAAAATATAAATAGTTCTTAAGCAAAATTAGGACATTCTTTTTTATAGGGAAATCCATTTACAAAACAAAGAAAACATTTTTTAATTATAACAACAAAGCTAAGACTACTAAGAAATCATTATAGGCAACAAGGTTCTAATTAATTGTAAACTATTGAAGTGCAATACCAAGACTGATCAAAGGAAAGAGAAACAATTAATTATCAAATGATTAGAAATGTAGAAAAGCGCGAGATATAAATCAACAACTAGAATATCAGTAGATCACTCTGATAACTTTGTAGATAACTCAAATAAAGTTTCTAGTTATTACTTACAATTTAGTAACGTTTTCGAGTATGTAATAAAAGAGAGTATTATCCCAGCGTTAATCATCGAGTATGAGTTTAGGAAGCATGCTGAAAATACATAATTAAAATATAGCTATTTAAGAATAGAAGTAACTTGGTATAGTTCACAAAATTATTCTATTGACATTTCTCATATTAAAATTTAAAAATGGATTTTGGTGCATACATATTGTGTAAGACTGAGCAACCAAATGATTGTTAAATGGGGATGTTAAATTTTTTAAATTATGTGTTGTAGCACGCAAAATTTAATCGGTACTTCAACGAGACATGAAAATGCTCTTTCGTGGTTGCAGACTCGTCTGTAAAATGCTTTTTGTTAACAATTATAATTACACTAATTTTCTTAATACATAAATTTCCTAATGCATTTATATATATATACTTTTTCAGTTACCTAAGTATGTAGGTATACAGAGCGCTGAAAGATGTATGTAGATTAGGGTGGTTCTTAATTGTACGATTTCCGAATTTCAATTGTGCCCCCATTCGATTGAAAAAAACATATTAAGCCAACTTTGAACTTTCTAATCCGATCCTAATCATTCCCTGTAACAAGGAGAAGTTTTCCGTTTAAAATACATGCAATTTCCCTATTTTAAATTGATTATTGTATTACAAGGGCAAATTATTGACGAAAAAAATTTAATTTACATGAAATTGTCGAGGATCAGTGTTACTATTAAGTATGAATTAATAAATTACCTTAATTGGTACTTTTAGGTAAAAAAAAATGTTAGCCTCTGCTTAGTACCGTATAATTCAATAATAACAAAGAATGAGGAACAGAATCAATACCTGATACAGATTGTGTCGGAATTCCGGAAGGTATATCCTGATACCAAAAATGTAAAAATTCGTTTATTCTATTTTTCAGTAAAAAAAGTTTAGAAAAACGTAATTTTGCTGTGTAAAAAATACATAAAATTAATAATAAATATAAATATTTTTTATTACGTAATTCATTCTTTGGAGTGGCCGACCCCAAATAAATGGAATCAAGGAGAAGAAGAGGATCATTCTTGATTTTATAAATTATTTAGATAAAAACATAAACGTATGATACTTTCAAATTTATTATATAATGTAGTTTCAAAGTTCTAAGTCATAAGAACGACCTCAGTGAAAAGACCACGTGAGACTTATTTTTGTGACCCAAAATGATTGTCCTTTAGGTAATAATAGCACGTATTTGCGCGTTAATACACGCTTGTCCTTGGACTTAAAACCAAATGTGAAAAGGAAGATTCGCAGACGAAAAATTAATAAACAATGATACAAATCTATGATAATTACTTGTACTCGTGTATTGTGAAAATCCCCCAAAAAAAATGTATTAGCCTTAATAATAATTAATGAATATTTTAGCACTCGTATAATGATGTCGGACGATAATAAGGAGAGAAATCGATAAACACAAGCGGCCGATCATCCGTCAAATTAGGTTATAGGACGCAGTGTAAACGTCTGCGAAAATCCTTCATTTGTATTTCAAAATGGATTCAAATGGTGAATTTAAACTGTCTGGGTCAGCGATTCGAAAGGCGATACGGTAACAACAATGTAACACGAGAACAGTAGGATTATTTGACCCGCTGTTAACTTTACAGCGACATAGCCTTATTACCGATTATGTATAGCTTTTAATATTAATACATAAAAACATTGCAAATAATATGCGTTTATTATGATAATAACATGAAACATCATCATAGTAGTTCCTGTAAATATTTATTATTAGGAACTACAGTTAAATTAGTTTTACCGAAAACAAAGTTTGTGAGTCCGTCATAATTGTGTACCTACTTAATTCAGTTTCAGGGTTTGTCAGGGTCCTATACTTGTATATTAAGACATATCCATGTTCCTATGTACTTCCATGCAGTGGGAGTCATGCCCCTTTTGTTGTTAAGCTTGTTTTTTCTTGAGCAGATATCATTGATGTTTGTATTTCAGTTTTATTTTCTAAAGCTGTTTTATGACTTAAGGTTGTACAAATTATACTGTAAATATATTTAATATTCACTCGGAAAATTATATTAAACCATTTCAAAAATATGAAGTTATATATTTTTTCTTATTTATTAGGTAATATCCAAAAAAACTATTATAAACCTTTTCCCCCAGAAGGGATGAAAACTTTATGTTATTTCGCTTTTCTGGCAAAAGTTTTAGGACTTAAGGTCAGAAAATTGGACTGTAGGTAGCAAATTTAATATTAAAATTTTCTGAAAAATCTGTATTAAACTTTTTTGAAATTTTTATGTCTTTTCTTTGGCACACAACTAATTTTTTTTTATTTGGCATTGATATCTCAGAATCAATTGTAGTATCACATAATTTTCGAAAAAAAAATACATGTATGCAATAGTTTTAGACAACTGTACCATAAACATAATATAATACCTTTAGTTTATGGTCGCTTAATAAGCGACCAGTAATTTACTTAACAATATTTCGCACGATAGACATAATCCACCAAAGTGGAAATAGCATAGCTTTAGTTGTGACGATTCGTTATTATTTCGATGGCATCTTATATGTTATTATTTATTATATGTTTAAGTTGGCGTGCTAATTTAATAACGCAATTTTAGTGTCGCTATTTAGTATTGTTTTCGGATTAAGGGGGCAAGGCTAAGCATGCTAAAATTGTATCGTAGCTAAAAATTAATTTTCTTTAAGTGTAATTAACAAGAACTCAAATAGTTTATAACCATATATATATTTAAAATGCTCTTATCGTAGTTGAAGCATAGAGGTAAATAATATTAAAATGCTTTTATAAAAGCGATATACTTTGTTATTAATAATTTACAAAGCAAACAGCTAATATTAATAATACCTAATAATAAATCAATAAATAATTAAACATGCAATTGTTAAACGAAACGAGTTTCACAAAAACTATGATTAAAACGATAATTTAAAGAAAAGGTGTCATATATCTTTCGAGTTAATGATATTTTAATCATATGTTTTTTTTTACTGTCGTTTGATGTAGCAATATCTAAAGAAACAATAATTATTTTTAATTTACAGCTATGAGGATAGTACTCAGAGGAAAAGCTCACGCCGAATGGAAAGTTTTAGATAACATTGCCGGGCCGACTGTAATGGACGAACAATGTTTTGTGGAAAATAAGTCTATATTAGGGGGTAATTAATACATAATAAAATTAACAAACGTTTGATACAAATAAACCTTACTGTGAATTATATTTTCATTAGACAGCTCTGTTCCAATTTTGCCACGTGGACTACACCAATTCCCATTTAGGTTTCAGTTACCTCAGACTTCACTACCGTGTTCATTTGAAAGCAAACCGGGATATATTAGATACTACATTAAGGTAAGAATGCATGTGAAAACTACACAATTCAAAAAATGTATAGCTTAAGCCATTTTTAATTTTTTTTCTCGGATACTCTTTAGGTTACACTCGATATTCCATATGCATCGTCGCCCCATGGGATGAAATACATTACTGTCATAGGACCGCATATAGATTGCATGGACGATCAATATCTAGTAAGTAGAAAAATCCATTATAAATACAATCTTAACGATATTTTTATTGTGCAAAGTTATGGTACGTCTAGTATACGCAAAACAATAAGATAAATATAATAAAACAACAACCCATACAGGAAAAATGTATTATAAAAGATTTTCAAAAATATTGTTTATATTATAAAATCATGTTTCGGCAAGATATTAAATGTCAATACAACAATATTTCATAAATGTTGTTTTAGTATTATAAAAATATTTGCTGTGTTATGTTTATTCATATATTTTAAATAGTATGATAATTTTCTCCGTATTTTAATAATATTTTATCTACATTTTGTAAATCATTTTTTTTAAACATTATATTTTGTATGGAAGTTAGCCGATTACCCTATGATTTTAACTCTCGCTCTGACAATGTCAATAATATATTATCAGGACTGATAACGACACTACCTCGTAAACAGAGTTCAAGTTTCATTTGTAAGACATTTTTATAATTTATTCGATTAAGTATGAAACAATAAAATAATATTTAAAACCCTGAACCATAAAAAATTATATACTCTCCGCGTGTGCGACGTATTTCGGCAACAATGTTGTCATCTTCAGCGCTAACGACAGACCCTATTATTTTATTATATATAACCATAAGTGATAAGTTGCTCAATGTTGTTATGAACATTATACAAATAATCTAATAAGATTCATTGAGGCCCTTCTGACAGATTATTTCAATTAGGATAAAGTCGTTTGGTATTCTCATAGATTATAAAAAAAACAATTGTACAAAGAAGTGTGGTGTAGATACGTGGTCAGTGATTTTTTTCAATAGTATTTAACAAAGGTATTCTCGATAAACTCTATATAACTAGAAGATTAACCAGAGCCTGAAAAATGTACTATAACCTTCAGTAGGCATTTAGTAAGAATTAAGATAGAGCTATTAAAATACATTATATCTAAAAAAAGATTAATATTATTATTTTGTTTATCTGTTATCATGAATAATTTTGTTTTGAAAGTTTAATAAATCGTAAGAGACCAAGGTAGGTCACACCGTAATACACCGCAATACACGTATTACTTAATTAATATTCAAACCCACACGTTGCTTCTTCCCGAAAATATTTAACTAAATTTTATTTGATATTACCGTTTTAATTAAAGCAAGAATATAATTGTATATAATACAATTAATTATCTGTCAGATTGAATACAGATAATTGTATTCATTATTGTAATGGATAAGGAAATGAAAGGATAAGGACATTACAAATATAGAATGGGTCACATTAACTCAATATAAATAATCATATTCTGACAAAGAATAAGTAAAAATGATTTACAAATGAATATATGTGAAAAAATGAATGTATGAACTTTGAAGTATTTTTAACAGAATGAACTAGCGCGTAGGGAAAATTGTTTTTCTCAATTCACTTTCTTAAATTTGGACAAATTAAAATACCACATACTGTATTTTTTAAATATTTTTTTAATACAGTTAAATAAAACATGTTGCATATAATTAGAGAAATGAAAACACAATCAAATGCCATAAACAGTAATCAATGGGGCAATGACTGCGCCAGTAGCCGACTTGAGCTACCACCTAACCTGATAATATATTTTTTATTTTACTTTTATATAAGAAATCATTGTTATAATATGATTGTTTTATTTCAATTAAGACTTTCTAATTCCATTTCTCCCCACAGCTATTGGCGGTTTTATATTGACACAACCCATTTATGTTGGCCCTCCAATTAATGGTCCTGATAAAAGTAGTCTGGCTTAAAACGGTTCACGGTATAAAAATGTGTAATGATATTAGGTCGGCAAGGGATTTCGGGAAATCGAGAGTAAACTGATTGGCCCGAGTTTAAATCAATTAATTGTACTTAACTGATTTCACCTAAACATAAAAAAATGTCTATTTATTATATAATATATTTTATAAACTTGAACATTGCACGGTTAATATACATCGTCAGCTGATAATCTACTAAGGTGTTTACTATTAATTTTAATTTTTTGCCTTTAGAAACCTATTGAAAAGGTGGAAAAGATGTCAAGATGCTGCATGTGTTACAAAAGGAACAAAATAGTGTTGGATTGCTATCTAGAGAGAACGGCATATGTATGCGGCGAGGCACTGCGGCTTAAAGCCAACATAAAGAACCAAAATAAAAGTGACATAAGGCTCAAAGTCAAGTTATTTCAAGTAAATATTCTGTAGATATTTAATAATTGTAGTAAACTGCACACTTAAAAACATTTTTCACAGCACAGCTTTACTTCCTTTATACCCTAAAAAAATGTTTTTGTAAATCTTGCAAAATATTAAAGTACAAATAGTACTAAACAAAAATTATTTAGTTTCAGATATCCAACTATTACTAAAAAAAAAAAAATGTTTTATATAATTAATGATGTAACATTTTAACACATAATAACAGCTGCTTAGCTAGAAAAATATTAAAAAATAGTATTGAAAAGCATAGTATAGTAATTTTAATATTTTATTTTGAAAATTTTAAATCTGTAAAAAATGTATTATTATGAACCAAAAACGTACTAATATATGTTTGTAAGTATACAATTAGGTACAGTTTACTACCATCATTTAAAATTCAACAACTACCACCCACGCCTACTATAAAATGTAAATAGCCCCAGTTTGATTAAATTTCTTGATGTTGTGAACTTATTTTGAGTTGATAATATAATAATACAATTCAATTGTATTTATATAAATGCATGGCTAATATATTATTTAAAGTTATAAAGATATTTAATTAAATTAGGGTATAGGGTTTAACGTTAAAAAATAAAGTTAAAAGTATAATAAGTTCAAGGCGTAAGAGATGAGAGTACTTTTGTGAGAATTACAATATCGGTTTTGCACAATTTACTGAAGGCATAATATTTTCACGGGGAATAAATGTTTATTTTCACATTTCGTGAGATCTTACCTCTTTTAATAAAATATACAAACTCCTTACGTACAATTTGTTGAAGTTTTCTAATTCATATTTAGAAAGGCTAAGCTGCTGTATGTACGCCTCAAAATTTTCATAAAGATTCAATCATACTTAACATTAATTTGAGAGACATGGTGTAGCGCTGTGGTTACCTCGGTTATCACTTAGCAACATATACAATTTTCTCCAAAATCTGTAGTAATTTTTTTTTAAGGAAAAACACCAAAAATGGGGTAAATTTACACTTTGGCCGTAGTCAGTTTCTAGGTTGCTATGTGTGAGTAAACCAACATTCAACAAGCCAATAGTTAACAGGTAATGAAAATATTTTCATTATATTGTTAATTACGATACATGGGTAACTATGACAGTACATTTTTATAGACAGACGATCAACCCTTATCGTTTCCACCCCGCACAAGACTAAAATATAGTACATTTTAAGTACATTATTGCTGGTCCCACGATGTCTTCTAAACCGCTATAACTGGTTTGAACATACTATCCACAGATTCGAAGCGTTTATTTAAAAGTGATTTTATCACTTTCAGTTATAATAAAATCTGTAGACCTGTGACCTCTCCGTCCCCATTATACCCCGACCCCACTGTACTGGCTTTTATTTATTTATTTATATATTTATTACCTATTTTTATACTAACTGTGATTATTAGCTATTCTAACCAGACACAAGAAGAAGACTAAATCTCTCTACGGCAATCCTCTAAGTGTAATACTTTTTCACTTCCCTCAATATTTTCAATACATTCAAACCATCTAAATCTGTTATCTCTTATTGTTTCCGCTGTCGGCGCAACTCTTAAATTTGCAGTTCAATTAGTAGTGCCAACTTTGAGTAATGCTAACAATGCTGACTTTACTGTCTTCAATATTTTTAATTTATTTTTACGAATTTTACCGTATATTCATGGTTTAATTAAAAATGTATACATATTTGTCATCTTTTTAATAGTAACGTCGAAATGTCATTTACATACTTGGAATAGCGGTCGATCCATGATTCGTAGTATAAATTAATCTCATGCCACTGAAATTGACATAATTCATCGGAGTACAATGGGATAGCTAACGTATCATAAAATATTCTCCTATAGTAGTTAAACTATACACGATGCGGGGAATCCTAAAATGGATTATATTATTTTTTATGCACAGAAACAGATTGTAATTTATTATTTAAAAATATCTATCTCAAAATAAAAAGTAATTTCATTTTTAAAATTATTATCGTAATAATTTCACTTAATTTCTTTATTTTTTAGTCTACGACCTTTTAGGTCGGTTTGGACAACTCCTGCACTACTAGTGACAAGAGTTGCCCATCATGGGGAAGTGGTAATGGTTCGGTGGTTTCTCGTTGACCGTTGTCATCCGCAAATTTCATTATTACAATTATGAAATTATTACGATTGTATAAAATATCATTATATACAATTCATTGAAAGTGATAATCTATCCATCTGATTTCATTAAATATTTCATATACAATTCTATTTCATTTGTTTTTCTGCTGTTCATATTATTAACATTATTATTTTTAAGCATCGCCATTAACTAGCTTATTGATTGGTTGTTGGGTTCGTGTACTACGTCATCCATCTGGAAACAACCAGCGAAAGACACAGCTTAATCTCAGTTGACCCCTGCGCCACACCATGTCTCATTGGGGACAAAATATTATTACTAAATAAAATTATAGATCATTAAATAAACTCTATTAACAAAATAACAATAGCTATTATGTTGATTTCCAGAATGTGCACTATACAATCAAAAAGAAGCAGAGTCCGACTAACTCAATATATCAAAAGGACGTCCAACATTTAGTGCTGGAGTATACTGGCGAACCCATCCAAAATGGGTGTGTGTCGCAATGGGACTCTGCCGATGGTCTGATCTTACCGGTGATGCCGCCAACATTGGTATTGGGTATCTGCAAACTTTTGCAAATCTATTATGTACTACAGGTATGGTAGAAGTTAAAATCCACACACACAAAACTAAGTATAATATCATTTATAATGCTAATCTAAGTAGTCTTAATCGTTTTTTGACGTGAATATGCCGCTGTAAATTCGGTGTCATGTATGAAAACTTAATATTTACCAAAACATCTTTTGCGTGTATTGCATATTTACAATTTATGGGAGGCGGAAAGGGATATAAAATAAATAATATTTTTTACTGGCATATCACAAGACATTGGTTGAATTTTGAACGTTATAAATTTGTAAAGTGAAATTCCAGGGATTTCGGTGAACGTCTTAATTTTTAAAGGATAATTAGAGAATTAAAAAAAAAAGGCATTTAAATTTTTTCTTAATCTGTTGTATGTTGTTTTTTGTTTTACATAATATTATAATACCTAGTTTTCACACTATATTTAAAACAAAATTTATATACCTAAAATCCGAACCAAAATATGAAGTTTGGATCAAGTTATCAGCTAGATTATTGGACACTCTTTTACAATAATAGTGCCTTACGGTCACCATTATTATTTCTTAGTGGTTTATTTAAAATCACTTAAAGACAAAAAATGATTAGTTTAATACTTTGTCCTAGTACTTAATCTGATAGTTTATGCATGCAGTTTAAGGGGAAAAGCACTTTTTTATAAAAAAAAAATTATTGATAAAAAAAAATCATTAATTTAAGCACTAGTTTTCCATGCCTAAAAAATGCTGTATAAATTCCACTGGAAAATGTTGAGAAGTTTTTAAAATATAGTGGTCACAGTCTTTGAAAACATTGTTTTGAGAAAAACGTGTTTAAAATTTCACAAAACTATTTTAAAGTTTTTTTTAAATAAAATAAATTAAATTTTTAAATAAATATAATTAAGAAAATTAAAAAAAAAAGAGTTTTTAAGATAAAGTTTATTGACTCAGGGTAACTCAGATAACGTTGGTATTTTTACATTTAAATTGTATATTAAATTGTTAAAACAACGAAAGACACCCTGTGTACATGTAGTATGATAGGTAATAAAAGGCAAAAGCAGATTGTGTTATTTAAAATAATCAATGTACTAAAAATCACAGTATTTACCATTATATCTTTCACCCCGACTTTTTTAATTCAGCATATTATGATTTTTTTTATTTTGAGATATTTTGAATATTATTACATAAACAGGTAAATGTAATATGGGTTTGTGTGTTTAGTTGTACTGTTCCGAGTGACGTGTGCCTTCGTCTTAAGAATTTAAGATTAAACGCTCTTAGCTCATACAATTTCACAAAGCGACTCCTAGATATATTATACCATATAAGTGTTATTAAAACTTTTACTATAAGATATCACTTGCAATGGATACGGGTTATTAGAAACGTTTCGTGAATACAAAACTGCCAAACTCATATTATAACTTGATCACACTTTTATCCGTTTATAACTTGTTTTCGAAAAGAATAATAATAATAATATGAAGTATCAGAAACTTCAGTGACACCGATTTCATATAAAATAATAAATATAACACTCATTATAGAATGACATCAAAACAGATACAGGCAAGCTGCACTTTGCAGAGACAATTACGACCAGCAGACCTGTGATTTTAGTGATTACGGTTTGCTTTTCACCATTGAATCGTAAGATTGTTTAAATGTTTTTATATTTTAAAGACATTTATAAAATAAAAAAGTGCAGAATTATGTTTAAAAATACGAACTCAGTACAGTTTAGTAAAGATCCATTTATATTTTTGTAGCCTGTTCAGCTGCATTGCAGCCAACTCCGAATACTGTTTTGCCAGATGGTACATGTTTAATCTAATGTTTAGATTGTAAATCAATTTTCATTTTCATAAAATATTTAGCACAATATTAAGTAAAATATTTAAAAAATAATTTTATTATAATATTTGATAACTTTAGGTTTGTGTAGATTTGGGTAATGGCGTCGAAGATCTTAACATGTGTTTTCCAATAACAATTGGAACGGTACCTTTCCGAATACCTAATCGTAACCAAACACCAAAAATATATTACAGTAAGTAAAACTCGGGAAAAGTATTCTTACAAATGTTTAAACATTGTATGTTTACATTTTCTTAAAAAAATCTATTTTAATCCAATTTAAACTCATGTCTCTCTCTACGCATTCCTCTATTCGTTACCATTTTACAGCTATAACTCCATACACCTCCACGTATCTACTTTTTGTAACATACACTTTTTTCTCTGATCTATCCCTCTCTTTATTCTCTTCTGCCCATTTTACTATTTAATTTCTTTCTAATCTTACTGCCTAGTCAAATCATCTTATCTATAATTGATATCTCTCTGATATTTTCTACTATATGTGCATTATTTGTTCACAGGTGTAGCGTGTGAACATGTGGAGGGCGGCAAATATATTGGACCCGAGTTCATGCTTGGCGACGTATACGACGGTACTCATGCAGAACAGGTTGTTATATACAGACCTGTATACGTGTCCATAAGGGAGCCCGATGACGTTCCTAATCCAATCGCCACCTCTTAATAAACGATGAGACCCCGCGTTTGTGTTATAGTGATGGGAATGATAAATTATAATTTTCTATAACACTATTAAACATTTACACGTTGTCTGTTGACGATAATTCAGACAAACCTGCACAAATTTCGGGCATACTTGAAAAACATATAATCAACACCATCTGTGTAGATTATTATTATTTAATATACTAAGTATAATTTGGAAGAAGAATATACACAAAATGTACAATAAATTGTACCCAATATATCTACAAATTAAAGAACTGTAGGCTTATTAGATAACATATTGTGCTTATCGCAAGTTGAGAATTAATGGCGAAAGTGTATAATATCTTAGATAATAAAATCTATCTAAAATGTAAGGAGTGAGAGGGTAGATTAAAATCCGATGTATTCCTTGTTGGCCAAAGGAGTATGATATATTAGCGTTTACATTTACCCTTAATCAACGAATAAGCACAATATAAGTTACCATACAATTAATTTTGATTTTTTAGTGATTTTAATTAGTTGTGATTTAGTCTTTGATAATCATCTTTCTTGATTATACAAGTTTAAAACTTAACCCGAAAATCGCAATTTTCATTTATCCTCTTCTGCCATAACATCACATGATTATAACTAACCTCGCCACAGATAATTAGGCTGCGGTAAAAACGTGTTACCCAATAATAAAGACAAGTTATGCTGTTATGGTAATTATTATCTTGATATATTATTCAATGTTTTCATTATTAATTTTGTTTTATTTAATTTAATTTGAAAAAATCAATCTAAATTAAATATGCTGTACAAACCAACTCAACATTAGTTTATAGATTTTTTTCTTCGTACATTTGATAACGACTGCTATTTTATGTACGTTTATTGTTTATGCATTTCTTATTACTTATTTTTTTAATGAATCTAAATTAATGTTTGGCTTTCGCACTTTTATTATATAAACTTTTTAATTAAGTATTTTAAATTCTAAAAATCTTTTATGTATTTTTGAAATATGGAAGTCGTGTACGTGTTATGCTCAACCAAAGATAAAAATATTTAAACCTAGATCAATGTATACAATTTTTTGGTGGATAGATAATGTTGGTTTTATAATGTAAAAATCAAGGGTTGGCTATAGTAGTTTTAATGTGACGCAAACAGAAGGACTAAAAAAAACCTGCCCAGTTAGAAGAAAAAATACCGTTCGATAAATCGTTTCTTTTGTGTGCTCATACTGTTGTTAGTCCTTCTGTTTTCTTCACTATCGCATAGAAGCTAGTAAATTTGAGTTCACCTCTTTATATTTTACACTATGCTATAAACTGATAAAATCAAGGTACGTCAAATCAGACAATCGTACAGACTACCGACATAATAATAATATACTCAAAATCTATGACTTGCTGTTTTAATACGAGTACTAGATATATATCGCACAATTATATATTATACATACCTATTAAATAATATTATACTTTAGTTATAAATATGGCAAATGGTGAAAACCAAAAGGGTATATAAGTATACAATTATTACAGGAGAATACATTTTTTTAAAAATTTTTTTATAAATTTTTTAACGTCTTCTAAAAAAAAATTGGATAGTGCAAATAATAATTGTGCAGTTAGTGTCCCGTACTGTCAGTTGTTTACTTAAGTAGAATTGATAGATTTATTATGTATTAGCATAAGTTTAGGGTCGGCTTGGCACCCAAAGGGCCCCGGATTCTAAATCTCTTAAGGGGCACCCATAAAAATTTCCTCAAAAATACACTGGGATTTAAAAAAAAAAAATGATCAATAATTAAACAAAAAAATAATAATAATATACAAGGGTGATCTGAAGGGGTAATTTTCCCCAGAAATTAATATATCACTTCCCCCCCCCCCAAGTCACGACTAATTTGGAAAACAAATATTTATAAATATTCGTTAGGTACATACTTGTTTTCTTAACAACTTAAAGTTGAAAATAGTAAATAGTAAATTATATGAATGAGTTAAAAATGTCATGGATCAAACGAAGAATAATTAATTTTTGTATTAAAAAGTGTCAAGCCTGACTATAGCTTGAAAAGTAAGTATGATAATCAATTTCTGTTTGAGCCATTTTATTAACATAAAAAAAATGTTGGAAAAACAATTAAAAAAGGCAAAATTCACGAAGTTATTGGACTAAAAAAAAAAGAAACTTATAACTTCAAAAGTAATTCCGACCGACTAAATCTGATTTCGTCATCAATGTGAAAAAGCACATATTTTAATGTATATGTGTTTTAATCAAGCCTATTAATGTTTCTAAAATAATTTGTCAAATTTATTTACATATACTGACAATGTTTTTGATTTTCGGGAATTTCAAGGGAAACATAGATTGAACTTTTGTTGCCCATTCTTTGTTTTCCATACGGCTGGGGGGCATACGAGTGTGGCCAGGTCGGCTCAGAGCATAACGCAAAATAATTGACCCAATAAATAAAATATATAGGGTAACCTTGATAAACGCCAACAAGCGTTTTCCTCTTTTTTTTTAGAATACATTAAACGTTGTTTAATTAACGAAATAAGGGACCAGCGACCACATCAATTAATAACGGCAACGAAGAATAAAACAAAAAAATTGTAATTTTCAGAGCATACATTTTCCTAATATCTCGGGGTTCGTTTTAGGCCACCCTTTTGCGGGCTTTGGCGTAACCTATTTAACTCGCTGAAACATTTATGACAACTTTGAGGAGTGGCCAGATGGGTAAGGCGGCAGTGTGTTAGCGCTCAGTGCTCACTGACACCGTTTGCTGGGCGAGCAAAAGAAGCCGCCATCCTCCTCTCCGACTGCATGGCAGAAATGGCATGCGCCATCTGGCGACCAAAGTAGGCTCGAATAGGTTAGAGCACCGACCTACTCCCGCCTCCCGGTCAAAATATGCCATACGCTAATAATAATAATGTTCTATAACAACTGACAGACTAAACCTGTAAGTCAAAATTCAACTTATGAGTTACGTGTGTATTAAGCTAATACTTAATACAGACGTTTCATATTTTAATTATCTACGTCGAGTAATCTCTGAAAAAACTGATGGTGATTCGAATGGTGTTACACTAAAAATAAAAAAAACCAATAGAAAAATGTCTTTTTCCAAATGGAATCACTTGTTCCTAATTCTCTGAAATTAAAGGAATGCGTTATGTGGTCTTAGAAATAATGCAGTGTTGTAATTAAAAATCAATTTTTAGATTCCTTATGAATAGTAGGGTAGGTACATGGTCTTAGGTGACTTTCGGATCAATATTATGTTTTGAGGATATCATTATGATCAATAAATAAACACGTTTTAAAATTCGTAACCCTCAGACCTCAGTTCCTTGTGCCATGGCCATGTGAGTTGTGACAACTCGCAATAACAAAATTTAACCCCAAATTTCCCAAAGTTCGACAATAGCCCAAATACTGCAAGATCAATCACGCATTAATGAAAATGGGGTCATTTAGGTTTTACATTTTTACCGCTTAATATATTGAAATTAATTGCTAAGTAACATTAAATATTATGTTAAATAATTTTAAAAAATTATATACAAATATAGATACAGCTAACAATCAAATTATGCCCATCCGGAATGGAATAGAACAATTTTGTACTTTCTTATTTAAAGTTTTGACCAGATCATAACTTACGACTTATGAGTGAAAATCTTGGATGATTAAATAAATAATAAATTATCAGTAACTTATTTTGTCTAACTTTATCATTAGTCAATAAAGTATGTGAATATTAAACTTATTAATTTGTATTTCACATTGACCAGCTATAATTCTCAAAGTTCACAGGAACATATGTATAATTATTATTATAATACTATAATTTATAAGTATGTGTTATGATAAATTCAAAACTTTTAAAGAGTATCTACAAGGGTTTAGACCCATTTATTTTATTCTTATAATATGAACCTTGTTAAAATTATTCTTGGTTTTCTAAACAAGTAACAACCTAATTGTAACCTTTATGTTATCAATGAATGAATATAATGTTCATTTACTATTTGAATTTAGTTCAATTATTCATGTTAGTAAAAATAAAAAACAACTTATTTTGAAAATAACTATATTAATTATTATACAATGTTGAATTCTAAAATAATAAAAATACACTTATTATGATTTTAAACAAATTATATACTTATAATTATAATAAAATAATATCGCTAATGTAATCAGGCTTTTATGCAGGCACAGCAATTAACAATTAACACCTTTTTAATATTTGTACTATAATATACAACTGCATTATTAATATTACGTCACAAATGTAAAATATAATTTATTTTTAGAAAACAATTACATTTTTCTTGTTGGCTGTACAAAATAAGAATAATTCAATTAATTGATATTAGTTCTAAGTACCCAATATGTTAGTTTGTGTTACGTACAATTTGTAAATAAATAATTAAATACAGCCAAATTTATTCATTGCTAATATATTAATACATTTGCTAAAATAATAATATATAATAAATAATATCTACCTACTAAAAATACATTTGTTATACTTATTACAGTAATAATAATAATACTAACAATAACATAAATAATAGTTAGTTTATCAATTAAATAATAATTTTGAGCAATTGTAACAAATTTTTTGTACAGTAAATGTTTTTTTCATTACAACTGAAGGGCACAGGGAAAGAAGGGACTAGTCCATGTATGAATATTTTTGAGTATAGCAAAGTTCGTGAATTCCTCTCCCTCTTACATAAGAACAAAAAAAAAATCACATTAAATGTTATTCTATTAAAAAAATGAATTTATTTAAACGATCTATTGAATAAATAAAAAAAAATGAATGACAAAAATTGATAAAAAACTATTTGAAAAAAAATTTTATAAATGGATTTCTACCCTTCTTCTACTGTACCCTTCAACTGTATTGCTGTTCAAAATATTAATTCAAAATCATAATAATAATAAGTGAATTTATCAAATTAATGACTAGAAATATAAATCGCAATGAATTTATACACACACAAGCATATACTGATTTACGAATTCACATAAGGTTTATGTAAAATACATTTATTTTAAAATTAAAACATACAAATATGTCCTTGATAGGAAATCAAATACACATATGATCAATAATTAAAAGTATATATTGCAAATATTTTCCAAATAAATATTATTTGTTCAAGACAAACGTTAACAAAATAATTATTAATATTCTTATAAGGCCACGTGTTTAGTATGCAAGTTTAAAGATTATTTGTAATAATGTAGGTTTATCAATTACCACATTATTAAATTCAGTCCAAACAATTGGAAATATATTTTCATTATGTATAGTGTGTGTTACACTTATTAGGTTTCATAAAACGATATGTTTTGTTTCAATACTGATGGCTTTGCAAATATGTAATCATTCGCTAATCTGTCATCTCGGGTCACTTTTCCCGTCACTATATAACCTTTGTCTTCCAAAAATTTCCGTACACCATCATCACCCTCTTTTACATGAAAGAATTCTACTGACAGAGTCTAAAAAAAAAAACATTTATAAAATGTTGTTATTATTATGAACTATTTCTATTTATTGTATAAATGAAGTAGTGAGAACCTAAAAGGCATGCGATTTAAAGAAAATTTTGCAGGAAAGCAAAATAAATATTAAGATTTTAAAGTTTTTTTATGCTCTATGTTTATTAGTTTTCAATATATTTTTCAAAATTAGATGAAATAGAAAAACAAATACAATTATTGTATTTTTAAAAAATGCTTTTTTGATCAAAACTGCCAAATTTATCTTTTTGGGCAGTGGCAAATGGTTATCTAGATAACATTTTTTAATAACAAATAAAAGGTAAAAAAAATATTCGAATAAAATCATTTAAATGTATAGATAAATGTTTTAATTAAATAATATATTTATTCAAAAACACTGAATAAGTTTTAAACAATCTTTGTATCTATTTTTTGATTATTTCAAATAATACATTTTTCTATAATGATAAGTTAAAGTTTTTTAATTTCGCCTCTTTTTAAAAGTTCTCTAGGTGGTAATTTTAATTTTGATATGAAGCTGTTTATTTTTTTGTTCGTATCTTCTTCAACTTTTAAACCCTTGGACTGATTTACTCGATCAGTCAGTTGATTCTTTTAAAGGTAAAGTTAAAAGTTCAAATATACCTCGTTAACTATTAAAAATGCACACAAAATATTTTGAACATTTATTTACGTTTAAAATTATAAGCTTTGGTACCAGCTAGATAGAATTTCTAATTAACATAGTTGCTGAACGAGTAAATTGGTCGTATGATTCAAAAGCTATAGTAGGTATAGACTACAGGGACACACACACAAAAAAACTCATCTTAAGATCTTACCATCTCAGATTTGCATCAAAGTTAAAAAGGCTAAGATGCGGTTTTTGAGTAGACAAAAAAAAAAACTTAAACTTGGTATTTAACATTATAAATTACGAATAATTGAACGATATATTAGTCGAAAAAATAGTAAGTACAGACAAATTGTTTATCTAGATAATGCAGAATGCTCAACACTGACTTTTGGTTGTCATTACTTCAAATATAATGTCATAGAGTAATCTCACTTTGATGTCAATCTTATCAAATGGTATTGTTTTTAACACATTGAGTTCTGAACCCTCCACATCCAAACTGAAATAGTCTACCACTGTAATATTAAGTGCTAACAAGTATGTATAAAGAGGAAAACACTGAACTCTAACTCTAGGCGCATTTTTTCTCTCTATATCATTTGGTATTACTTCATCTTCTACCACTTCATCACTTGCAATTCGACCCATATTGCTACGTTGAAGAAAAGATACCTGTAGAAACCATCAAAACGAAAAAGTTATTTTAGATTAAATTACAAAAAAACGATTATATTTTTTTACTAGTTTAAATATTTGGGAAACCTGATTTGTACAAGTCAGTTTATATAATTAAACTGAGACACTTATACACATACCGTACTAAGTGTAAGTACTTACAATTTCTGGATACGGATTAATGCTTAAACAAGTCGGTGATAAATAAGCTCTTCGACCTTTCCTTAACATTTTAGCAAAATTTAACGGATCAGCTTCAATGAGTAATCCGTTCCAACCAAAAAATCTTTCAAAATATAATGTATTTGATCTTGTTTCACCATCTAAAGCACCACATTCGATAAAGAATCCTCCTTTCTAAAAATAAACCAGTATTTTAACACAAATTAATTTTAAAAAAGGAGAAGGCTTTAAAATGACAAAGGCCCATGGAATTACAACACTTTTTGTGCAATCTTAAAAATATAAAAAAAGGGCTTACACTATATGATAAAAGCCAAAAAAATTAGCTTAGTAATTTTCATTGTCCTGAAAAATATATGCATGCAGGGTATGAGTGATAATTAAAAGGTCATTGTACCAATAGACATTTAGAGATTCCTTATACATCATTCAGTGGCACATGATTGGTCACATTGGTGGAACCAGAGAGAGGGCTAACGAAGTTCAGACATTGTAAGAACTCTGAAAGCTTCCTCAGAATTTTATTAAAAATTATAACCCTTACTTGGAGGCTATGTCTATTTGTTGCTGGCATTTTTTTAGAGTCTGAACGAGTTTAGAATGATTTGAACTTCCCTAGTCCTCCTCTAATTGCGCCAATGATTGGTTAATTCAACTTCATTAAATGATTAAATTTAAAGAACCCTGTAGACGATCAAATTTGTTTGACAATTTTTTGGTCAAACTTCACGTTTTCATCAAACAAATTTGTCAAACATCCCCTTAATTTTGGGTTTCTCCTTGTCGTGGCATGACGTTTGCGTCAAACAAGCCTGCATACAATGAAGTACAATCAAACAATTTGACAAACACGTAAAATTTAACAAACAATGTAATCGTCAAAAGGGTCTTAACAATTATTTTCGGACAACGGGTTAATTTTTTTTAGTTTAAAAACTTTTTTCCATTATAATCAACTCATAACATAACATTTATATATAAATGTTTTTATGTTAATAATAATTACATAATTGTATTAATATAAAATGATTGCCACTAGTATAATCTATAGTTTTTACTTTGTTGGTAACTGTTGTTAAGATAATAAGTAGGTTATGTTAAAAATAATAAACGGGTAATTATAAGGAACATTACAATGTAACTACTCGTACTGTATGATAGTATACAAGTTTTTGTTAATTGTTAGTTTATTGATTTGTGGTGTTTGCTAAAAAAAGACTAATATCTTCTCTTAGTGAGTAAACCGTTTAATTATTAGGTTAAAAACATTAAATGCATCAATATAATACCTACAATATTAGAAACTAATGATTATCTGTACATCCGTGTAGCAAGAATGTGTATTAAGGTGGTTTTAATATTTTGTTTAGACGGTTGGAATTTTCTACTTCAATTGTTAAATGACCTTTGTCATGGGAAAACCTCAATTTTTTGTAGGTCATTACTTTATAATCAATAATTTTGCTTATTTCTGTAGCCTGTCCCATTGATGTATCAACTAATTGCATATTGGAAAGCTTGTATTGCAACCGTTTACCTTTATTTTCTTGTAAAGGTTTGACTAGAAAATGATCACTCAGTTTTTTTACCAATTTTGAATTGTTCATTGAAATTATCGGGCCATTTAAACCATCATCTAAGTAAAACAAAAAATAAAAAAAATTTTTTTTCATAATATCATAAATAAAACAACTTATACAAAAAATTAGCTCATGCATAAACACAGACACTATTTTAAAAAAAACGTTTATTTATATTAACTACCTAAGTAAATGTATTTTATTAAAAAAAAATACAATTTAACATGCAATCTTTAAAATATATACATGCATATTTAAAATTACTAATTGATATATTATATTTTTGAGTCTAATAGATGATAGTAAATTCAAACTAGTATTACCCTTTGGATACCTGTAGTATGTACTCCACACTTCTGAAATTAAATATTTTAAATATTGAAAATAACACAAGCATATAAGTTGGTAAAAAGAAAAGGAAAACTCACCTTCAAAAGATTTATAGTCATCCGGATTATGTCTAGATGTAAAAAAGTTGAACATACAAATCATTAAAAAAGCTAGTATAAACAAAAGACAACATTTTTTCGATATACGTTTCATTTTGAGCCAAAATGATTTTACTCGATTGAATTATTACAATAATACATTTTCCTACATAAGTAAATGAAAGAAGAGCAAAACAGTATACTACATCTTTTTACATAGCATAGATGTTTTAACTTGTATTCATCAAATCGCACAAGAGACAAAATATAATATATAGTTAAACATTTGTATACGATAAGAATAAGTCAGGCTAAGTAATTAAAACTGTAGTAAAAGTGAAAAATTACAGATATTCTTCAACCATTGGCACCGAACACTAGATTATAATTATAGTAATACTCATAATGTATACATGTGTATTGATAAGAATCGTTATCTAATGTCAATAATTGACAACATTATCAGTCCTTAACACTCCTATCAGAGATAACCACAAACATGGCTATAGATAAATGGTTGCACAACCACTGAAAAGATAACACGGCACAACGGCCATACGTAGCAATGTTCTATCACATAATAGACTAAATATAGTCTATTCTGTTAGACTAATTTAGTCAATTCTGTGATTCTATCGGCTTCTACAAGAGTTCTTATCAAAAAATATGAAAAAGTGAGATACTGCTAGCGCTCCTCGTGGGCAAATCGTGAAATTTTCTATTTCTCACCGAAGATCCTTGTTATATTCCGTCGCGTGCCGGGTTCTCAAATTTTATCACAATTATTTATCTTTTATCAAAAATTATCGTGTACGCCTGATGTTTATATATAGGCAGCATAATATACAAGATAATCCATTTACCCTATAATTTAACGTAAGACACTCATTTTCTTTAAAAATATTTACAGTTTTGTAGCTGTCTTTTTGAAGACATTTGGTCCATGTTATTTTACAATAGTGAATTTTTATAAATATATTTTTAATGATAGGGCTGTACTTTATATCATTATTTTTTTAAACTTTTTAAATTAAAAATAATTTACTAAAAATGTTGACTGGTCGTTATCCAGTATTTGAATAAATATTTTTAAAAATATTAAAGTTTGAAATGTTGACAAAATTTTAAAAGTTAAATGGAACTAAAGAATTAATCAAAAAAAGATAAACAAAAAATTGAAAACTTCAGTTATTATTATGACTTAATATCAATTATACGATAATTTATAATTTATGTTTCAAGAAGTTAAATCATAGTTAAGTAGGTTCATACTTTTTATTAGGTAATTAATCAATAATCATAAATAATAATATTGTACGATTTTTTTTATAAAACGTAAACTGTTACAAAATATAACTAATCAAACATTGTATCATTTATATCGTACTAATATAAACAGAAAATATAATATCCAAAAAGCTATTAGATAATCCCCGTCTACAACATAATAATAATAACAATGACGTTATGAATAACGTGACTTACTCCCGATTATGAGATTTACTAAAAACTGTATGTATATTACATGTAGGTACAGAATGTAATGAACCATGTTAATGACATGACTTCTAAGGCTTTTTTTATTATACTAAAACCACGGAGGGAGAAAGAGAAAAAATTGAGAATATATAAATAACCTATATTTATATAAATAGTTTTGAATTATGTATTTATACATAATATATTATGAACTAAAATGTTTTTTTAAAAACCATGATAGTAATTAATATTAAAATGAGTAAATTGCTTTAAATTGATCAATCGGTATATTTATTGTAATATCTTTATAATTTGAAGGGCTGCGGGAGAAAAATACCAATGCCAGTTTTTTAACATTTTGAGAAAATTATGTTTTTAATTTCAAAACGCAATACATTCTGCCTGTATGCCTAAACTTCCGGCGGTCGTTACTCTCGACTAATCTAGTTTTTTCCTGGTTCGAGCGCATAAAAGATACAATACATCAATACAAATGATTTGATAGGTACCAAAATCTCATTTTAAAAAAAATTGACATTGATCTTTTTTCCCCGCAGCCTTTCATTTGTATTATCTGAATTCTTTAGGATACTTAAAAATTATACCTGAATTTTTTTAGTGAAATCAGAATTATATTCACATACGATTTAAAATAGAAGACTAGATTTCAAATCAGTAAACTTATATTGCATATATTTGCCTATATGATTATTTCTAGATTAATTAGCATATTTGTAATTATTATATTATTATCTTTAATCGTGTTTACGAGTATGAGCTAAAGACAATTATACACAATATGAGAAAAGTATTAAACGAAAATTCGAGTTATAAAATATTGTCTACATTTTCTAAAATAATCGTCATTGTTCTTTTAATTTTTAAACATTACCAAAATAATTGTAAATCAATGTTATCCTGATACGTAAAATACCTTTTTACATAATCAAACCTCTGTAAAATGTTGTTTATATTATGTCAAATCGGCTATTTGAAAACTCGACTAAAATGTTTTAACTGATTCCATAAAGGTAAATAATTACATATTTTGATATTTTTAATGCATATTATAATACATTTATGGTTATTAACATCCGAACTTAAAAATTAGACAAGCTTATTCGATTATATAGTATTGTTGATTAAACATAGATATGTTTAGTAAGCACAGACAGCTCCATAGTTATGATTTGTATTAAATAAATGAAAAACATTATTTATAAAATAAAATATTTATTTAATAATTTAAAGCAAATACTCAATTACTAACTGATACGGAATAAGTACTTGAGATATGAGTTTAAGCTGTCAGCTTTTCGACTTGGTAATTTTGTATTATAACAACATATAGCTAAGAGAAAAAAAACAGTGTAGTTCACGAAAATGATTATATAAAAACTACGTTGTAATTGACAAGAAATCCATTTTATAATACAATTTAAGGCTATTGATTTCCGAAAGTGGGTAGTTTAATTCATTCCTTTGAAGGGACCACCCTTACAGGTGATATTCAGGTTAACCAAAAAATATATGACCGTTAAAAATCGTTCGATGTATGCCGCCGACATTTTACCTTTTATAATTTCTTACAACGTTGTACAATATTTCCTGAAATATTATTATGCAAATTGATCTTAAATTAGTTTAATCGACAAATATTAAGTACGTTTCTAGTGTTAAACTAAATTACACAAAACATATTAAAGCAACAAATAGTATATTTGCAATAATTTTGTTTTATTTTTAATCAACAAATTATAAATAATAGAATTGAAGTGTTGTTCCAAATTATTGTATTGTTTTAAAATTGGAAGTGTGGATCAAAAAATGACAAATGAGCAATATTTTAATTGACGACTAGATGGTATAAAAAACTGTTCAACACGTCATGTATGTAGATTGTAGACACATAAACTACTATGAACATATAATTAGCCAATAAATTCTAGATCTACAGAATTTTATATAACAAAAAATATTTTTTTAATTCGCTGTACATCAGTTGGTCAGTATGTACATAAGTGAAACATCATCAAGAAGGTCCTTCTTTCAAAGAAGGGATTATCGAGAAACGATTTAAGTAAAAAAAATGCCTGGGTTGCATTTTTAAAATACATGTCGTAACTGTTCTATTTTAACAAAGAAATCAATACAATTTTCGGTATGATGTTGTTTTGTATTATTGGTAAATAAGAATTTATAACCGTGCTAAAGTCTGTATAGTGTACAATGTTATATCTTATAAGTTATAAAGCTCAATTTTTAAAACTAACTTTTTATTTATAATTTGCAAGATGCTATCGAAAAGCAGAAGTGTAGTTATAATTTTAGTCTGAGTGAGAATAAAACATATATATGGTTTTAGGAAAAGGTGTTTGGAGGTTCTTATGATCAGCCAATATTTCCAATCTATTTAAATAGTCATATGAATTAACAAATTAATATTAGTTTTTAGCGTCAACGCGTAGCTGAGAAGGTATTGTTTTTACAATAATGAGTTTTTTTTTGTGTAGACCCACGATATTTTTTAAACAGTTGAACTGATTTTTTCATGTATTAACTCTACAGATCAGAAATCTTACCTGTAATGTACTTTAATTTAAAATTTAAATAGTTCACCTCCTTAAAATCTAGAAAATCACCCAAAAAAATTGACCTACATATTTCTCAACTTAAAATTACGGCACGCTATAATTTGTTTTAAAAATATTTGAATGTATTCTACATTTGTATGGAATATCCTTAGATAACGTACTATGTATGCACTTTGAAAAAATCAAAAACTCTTTGCCCCTAGAAGGGGTAGAAACTGTTTTCTTTATTTCTCTTTTTCCATCAAACTTTTAGAACTTCAGGCTTGGAAATTATAAAGAAGATAGACCTAGTGTGGCGCTATACATGTACAATTTTCTGAAAAATCTGTAGTTAAACTTTTTTTTATTACACTTTGGTCGTAGTAAATTTCTAGGTTGCTAGGGTGGCCGGTGGCACGTGAGTGAATCAACAGTCAACAAGTATCTGAACAATATTGTAAAATATCATTATTATTTGGGACACATGGGTAACAACGGCAATAAATTATTATAGACAGACGACCATTGTTTCCATTGTAAACTAAAAAGTAGAAATATAATTTTAAGCTCATTATCGGCAATGCTTGTATACCTGTAATTTTATCATTTTCAGTTAGAACCTCTCACGCCCCAATATGCTCTGTCCTCACTATGCCCAATTCCACTGCACTGGCTTTTTTATATATACTTTTAACAAATAATTTAGGAAATATTTTGTATTATATGTTATATGTTCTTAACTTACTTCAGTAGTACTTTTTCTAAATTATGTTGAAGTTAAAAAAGCTACTCTCAGCATTGGTGCAATTTTGGGGGCTTGTGGCTTGAACTACCGAAATTGCCATACCTTAATTTGTTAAGAGCGGGAATCAATACTTTTGCACTTAGAACCATTGTATACCGTTAATACCAGAGTTGAAAATTTGATAAGTTTTATCCGTGATATATTTATGGATACTTTGTGAAAATGATGTAATGTTTATTGTGTAGAATCAAACGTATGTAAAACAAAAGACTTTAGGTATATCTATTCAGCTTGTCCCCGCCAAAATTACACTGCTGTCGAGCAGGGGTTTGTAGCGGGCTATTTCAAAAACGATCTTCACAATGGAAACTGCTCTCGAGTAAAGTAGAATAATAATTGTAGTTAAACTTCGAATAATCGAATACTTAAATGACTACTATGATCTATGCCTGCTCTCGAGGATCAAATTAAATCCTGCTACGAACACTACTATTGCTAAAATGTGTGTTTTATCGTGTACACGACGCATTTGGTAAATTGTTCGAATGTCATCGATATATGTTTTTAAACAACATTTTTCTTTTCTTCGGCTGTTC